GCGGCTGATATTGCCAGAGAGAAGCCACTTCGATGACACTTTGGGTGCTTCATCTTACATGCAGCACTTTGAAAAATACCTTTTGAAAGAGACGATGTAGTTAGTGCTTCGCCCAGGCCACTTCCCGACTTTCTCCAGGAGGCGTTTTCAGGGGATTTGGCCAAGTGCCACGAGCTGGGGCCACAGCAACTCTATGGGTACCAAAGCTCCAAGCATCGAACAGGGAGCTTCTGAAAATCATCCCGATTCAGTCCATGGGTCGGCATTTCGTTGTTTTTAGAGATCTTGATCCTGTGCTCGAGCAGCCTGCCCCAGAACAGGTCTTGATATGGTATTGTTGCACAATATGCCCCCTGATCTCTCTATAGCGATCGCCTCATAACCCCGCGGTGGGGACCCAAAGGGCTTCGTTGACTGAGGCTGGCAAAGCCACAATTGCCCCGACCCGCCTGGCCTGAAGCCAATCTCCAGTGTGGAGGACAGTAGGTATGGGTCTCTTCAAGGCGATAGGACAGGGATATGTACTGGCATATAGGGATGTTTAGAATTGGTTTTCTGAATTAAGGGGGCCCTTAAGGATACCAGGAATAGATGGGGTAGATGGGTGTCCCTAATTCTGCGGGAAGCTCGAGAGGGATCATCTTCAGAAAGCTGCACTTCAGCGAAGGACAGTGCAACTGTCTACGCCAAGAAGAATTTTGAAGCCGCGGACACATTCGACTGAGGGACCTTTTTGGAAATATGCAGCGGCATAATTCGCGCGCATCACCTGACTAAACTTCAGGCCTAAACCTAACCATTGTGTCCTGCACCGGATCTCAGTGATCCTGTTTCAAGCAGTACTGAGGTCTCCCTCGAAGAGGGAACAGCCTGGTGTTCTGAGGTTCGAGCGTAGCGCTGCTATTCAGTGGAGCTTGCAACTTCAGTTTTAAATTCTCGTAGGTCCTCTGGGTGGCACTTTGGGAGAACTTTAGATCTTCCTATGGAGCCCATTCAAAAATGATGTGCAGGGCCCTCTAAAGAACCACCCAGTCCTTTGCCCAAGAGGCGTTTTCTTCGCTGGCCCTCCAGCGATGGGAGCTGCAAGCCACTAAAGCCTACAAGACCATCTGGTGCTTGGTAGGGAATGGACAAGGTAGGTTTAGGGTGTTTAGTAGGGCATGCAAGAGTGAATCATAGGTATAATATGGGGAGATTGCAGATGGGGACTACTACAGGGATCCATTCCCTCATTCCTTACTTCCTCGGCCTGGCAGCTCCTTCAATTTCAACTTAGCCAACTCACGCCCCCCTCCCATCATGCAGACGCGGGAAGCGATAGGTGGGGAAAAGCTCAGGTTATGACTATGTAGTTTCCTCTAGCGCCTTAAAATTGTTAGTGGTTTGTCATGTCATCACCTTGGGGAAGCCAGCATCCTGTGCTGCCTCGGCTGGGGCTGATGTTCGGCATCAGCTCGTTGGCTGCATCCCCTTTCAAACGCAGAAAAAGTGTGCCTGATTGAGCTTGAACGCTGGCAATGACTTTGCGTAAGCCTGAGTTATAACCCGGAACTGTCACACAGTTTCTTACGATTGCCATTAAAAAGCCACAAGTGTTTCTGACTGACCCTTGTCCTAGTCGTAAACGCTAAGCCGCTAAGCCCAAACTCAAAGCGCCCCAGCTCTCTGGACCTGCCAAGGTTTCCGTGCAGAGTCAGGATGCCGCGGCCTGTGCAGCAGCTGCGAGCCGCTTGGCCTCAGACCTTCACAGGTGCTTAAGCGAGGGACTGGGGCAGGGAATAGGCAGGGAGGAAAAAACAATATGGGTAGTCTTAGTATCTTCAGGTGACTTTCTAGGGCATTCCCTCTTCGGCACCAGTGAGTTGGACATGGAGGCCTCTGAAGTCTGTGACTGGCAGGCAAGGAGGTCAATGGATACAACAAACCTCCCCGAAGTCAATCCATCCTCCGTTCCCTATACGACGCTACACCTTTGCATCAGGATACATTTGTAAGGATGAATGGAAGCTACGCACATCTACAGCCATCCTACCCTCCGCCGTGCAGCCTTCCGTTTGCTGGAGCTAAGGCCAGAGCCGGAATCCGCTGCCTGTGCCCGAGAACTCCAGAAACACCACAAGTGGTGCTCGCTTGCAAAGTCCCTCGTCAGAAGCCCTGAGCCCTAAACCCTTTTCGGCTCAGGCTTGGACTTCCAGTGCTCATTCCGGGCGTCTACAAGATCGAAGCAGAGGCCAAGCGCTATTGGAAATCGGCTTCTAACTATCTAGCATAGCCTGGTTTACAGGCTTGCTGTTTACATCTGTTGCAGCCCAAGCTAACCTTGACCTGCCCAGACCTGAACTCCCCCCAAACTGACCTCCACTCAACCTGACCTCCCACCAACCTGATCCCCCCCCGACTCCATAAGACACTCCTGGGAGCAGCGCGCTCCTATCCAGCCCCTCCCCTTCATCCAGCCCCTTCCCTCCAATCATGGTCCGTCTTGGGGGTCGCTATAATGAGGATTACAGTGCATTGGGGTTTGTATTGGAAATGCATGATGGTTCTCGTCAAGTTCTGTTCCGCAGTTGGACACGGAGCCGCGGCCCGCAGCCACGGTCTTTGTTACCGTGCGCAGTGACGCTGGGCACGCTCACTCAGATGGCTGAGAGTATGCCTTAGAGAGACCTCCTGTCCTCTGTACTCCCCAAATGGTAGCATCACATTGCGGGGGAAACATCATTATTTGAGAAGAAATGTTCCCCGCATGAGAACTTGCGGGCAGGGAAGAGCATTGCAGACTATCTCCTTGGCTGTGTCCTGTCACGAAATCAAGGCTGCATACACAGCTGGTAACCTTGCTCAAACCTACTGGTGCTTAAGAGGGAGAGTAGAAGCATTGCAATCTAGGTAGATAATTGCCTGCAAGCTGTACATATTAGGATTTTGCAGGGAATAGCTATGCTGTGATAGTGTTAGGGCCTGTTAGGGGTATTGACCAGCGCCAGTAAGCTGCTCGAGGCCCAGGGTTCACATCCTGGAGCCCGTGGAACCAATGACTCGTGCCGTCAGTCTCGAAGGCTACGTGAGGATTTCTCAAAAAGGACATACGGTGGTCCTTACTAGGACTTTGTCGGGAGTATTTTGATGAACTCCAACATGCGTAGTACGTTTAATTGGGGTAGCATAGGTTTCAGGGCTTTAGAGTTTGCAGTTGAGCAGCAGTAAGGTGCTATCCGTGTTTTGGGATACACTTTATAAGAAGAGGAAAATCTTTCTTAGTTGAGCCATCAACCAGAATTCACATTGCTGTTCCCAAGAGGTCCTTCCTTCCCCTCCCCATGTATCCCCAAAACCACATAAACATAGGCATTATGCTCAAAGTTTCCTTGCCTAGAGGGCAATATGCTTGGCGGCTCCACGAATGTTGGGGGAAGAATCCTCTTTTGTGGCTTTTTGTCCGTGTAAAGTACCGACAACAATCCCTCTAACCTACTCCCCCCAGTCCCAACTCTTAAGTGCCATTTGGAGGCGCAAGCTCCGACGTTGGGATCTCAGGTTGCGATGCAAGCAGGCCTTGAAATCCTCAGCGCTTTGCTTGCTGATTCATAAGGCTTAAGAGAAAGTGGTGCAGTGGATCACTTGCGCTTGCCCCAGTCCCCCCTAAATTGAGCATCCTAAGCCACGAACCCTAAATCCTAAAGCAAAGTAGCATAACAAGCTTACTAACTTCACGCAACATCACCAGGAAGCTTCCATTTCCTTTCCTCTCTCCTCATGCTGTTGAGGGGTTCCAAAGGGCTGAGATTCGATGCTGTGCTGAGATGCTGCGGCTCCGAGCACGCTTTGCCACCGCTGCTTGCGGCACGACCCAGCTTGCCGCAGCAGTGGCCCGGGACACGGGCTTCCTGGTTGTAGCGAATGAGGGAGCGGAAAGGAAAATCGAAGTTGCCCTTATATTATCGGGGATGTTGCAAGGGCTAGGAGATGAACAGTGCTGTGGCTCCTTGTTGCGCAAGGCATGACAGTTGCTTTCAGGTTATACTTTCTACCGCTCCAGGGGAGAGGCTGGGCAGCGAAACAAGGCGCTGTCATGGGCTTCACGAGACATGTGGAGTAGAGCTGCAAGCCCCATGTCGTCGGCGTGACACTCTTTGCATTGTTTGCCTCCAGACACGCAAGTCCACCCGTGAGTTGAAGGCCTTCAATGGTGCTCAGTGCGTTCGCAACAAACATCTCAGTTGCCTGGCTACAGCAGCAGAAAATTGTCAGGGTGATCGGCCCTGACAGCAGTAGTCAATAGCCTAGGATGGCTTATCGGGCGATGACAACTTCGAGGCACTGTGGGAGAGGACACTCTGCATCTCGGGAGCACTGACCTAAGCGACAGCTCCATGAGAGAACCAGAAGAGGTTTAACCGACGCCGGATCGTATCGTCTCACTTTGACTAGCACGTTGTGAGGGAAGTCATTCTTCTAAGAAGAGAAGTCATTTGTGGCTTTGAATTTCGTATCCACGTGACCAAGCGAACCCCTGCATCTGCACCAAGATCTGTCCAGAGTTGTGGGTCTGCTTTCAGCCTTGGGTATCAGACCAGCGTATGCCCCAAGCTTTTGGACTTAGGCTCCAAAGATTTCGGGCAAGGCAAGCAAACGCATGGAACTTGCAACCACGCAGCCATTGTGGCACAAGTTTCTGTGCCCACTTTGGTTTGTTTGGCGTATACACACACCCCTGGTTGCTTGGCGGCCAACTGACGTCAGTGATTGAGCACACAGCTTTGCTGGTCGAGTTTGTAAGTCGGAGAAATCTGCAGCGCACAGCTGCCAAGCCTGATAGAGGAGTCATGTCAGAGTTTCTGCCCAGGGGCCTGTTTTGTGTGGTATTCCGGAATTTAGTATAATTATAATACTTGACAACTGCTCTAGACTGGGGGCAGCAACCACACCATGTCATGCGTCTGTCACTTTTGAACCTGGCAAGAAGAGTTTGAGGTTGCGCAGGGCTGCCAGGTGGTCAGATGGCAGATGGGGGAGACAGCCACCTGGCTATGCTCGGCTTGCTCCGTTTTTTTCATCAGATTTGTGCAGTTTAGGAAATTAGGACTACTGGAAGATTGAGCCGTCATGTGCAATACTGAGTAACTGCAGACTTTCAAGCTTTGTGGCCTGTTAGGGCACGTTGGGAAGCGGGCAGGCAGGTGGCGTGTCTTGCCTCCTGCTATTCAGCAGGCTCGCCGCCCATCAAGCTTTCGCCGAGCGCTTCAAGAACTAGCTTGAATTCAGATGCCTCGTCGAAAACTTTAAGGCGCTTGAGATAGAGTTGCGAGAATACATGGTATGACATCATGTACGGATTGAGCGCATTTGAGCTTCAATCTGGGCAGCGATGCTCGCAAGCTAGGCTCCAAGCCAACAACTGAGAAACCGTGGACAGGAAGTCAAGCTTCCTCGGGCCGGACGAGAACGCAGCGGCGAATTCGTTCACTCTGCGGAATTTCACCCTACAGGAGCCTGAATGTGCGATGTCTTGCAACTGATCGAAAGAATGGTAACCGTCACAGTCACAATCACGGTGGTCGTCATCCGTATGCATGTGGGTGGTTGTCAAAATTATGGTCCCTTTTCGGGTCCCTATTATAATACGGCACCTAATATTTAGGTACCTAAAAAGGGACCATAATTTTTGACAATCACCCATGTGCACCCTGGTTGCCAGGACAAGCTAGAGACACAGATCAAGAATGAAATAAAGAACAACAAGTCCATCAGCAGCCCGGCGTGTGTCCATAGGGTTTTTGTTGGTTTCACTGCCCGTCTGGACTTTGGAATGTGTCAATTTCTTTGTCAGTCCCGCTCAGTGCATCGCTGGCCTTCCAAGGTTTGGAGCACACGCACAAGGCTGAAACCAACCACGAGAAGAACAAGGACCTGGATAAAAAGAGACCAAACTATCGCAGGGCAATATCCAGTGTCCCTCATCATTCCTAGTTGCGTAATGTACTTTCCTAGCCCAGGACGGCCTTGCTTGCAGATGGACCTTGTTCCCCTAGGAGTCCACTACACTCACACGTTCAATTTTGAGGGAAGCAGGAGGGGATGGCGATGTCAGTGCAAGTTACGCCTCAACATGCATTCTCGTGGAACCGCGCGGCGAAGGGATGTAAGGCTTTTCGCTAGGATGTTCTTTTTCTGGCTTTGCCATGTTCTCGCTCAACAAAAACAGGACTGCCTTGCAGGTATAGCTAATCTTGTCAAAGTGGAGAATCGCGGGAACGATGCGCAGATTCTGTGCTGAGAGGATCAGTTCCCAGATGGAGAGTCGCGCTTGCGCACTCTGGTCAGCAACAGGGACCAAGCGTCACGCATCTCTGTGTAGGCGGACACGTCTGATACTGCAGTGGCACTGCACCCTGAACCTCAAGCCCTAATTAACTCAAATCTTATTGCAGTAGTTTGGATTTGTTTTCCATTCCCCCCCCCCCTTTCCTACCAATCGCCACTCACAAGCAAGTACCGAGGTGACATCACAGAGGGCAAGAGCTCCTGGACTGCACAGTCAAGACTTGCATAGATGCCTCAGAGCACTTCAGATCTCAACCGTCAATTTCTGTAAAGCTTGCACGGGCGCCAAGCATCGCCAAGCCACGGACCTGTTAGGCCTTCAGCAGAAAGTCGCCAAAGAAGCGAAGGTGGTGACGAAGGGCATTCGAGGCTCCAGTCTTGCTGTGACCAAGGACTTCTTGGCGCTTAGGGGCTGAGGGAATGGAAGACAACATGGCAGCTACCATCTGCAGTTTAGGGTCCTTCGTAGGGGATGGTGGAATGTGTTACAGGGGCGATGGATACATTTCATGCTGGGCCAATGCAGGTGGCGCTGACAAGCGCGTGCTTCTCCCAGCGGTCTTAGAGCTGCAGGGAGAGGCCAGGGCCCAGGGGGTCTGCATCTTTTTCCAAACAGCTTGCCGAGTCATGGCATTGCATGGCCTTGTAGGTGCGAACCTCTCTGCAGCTGTTTCTGACGATGACGTTCTTCTTCGTGCTGAGCGTTGCATTTCAGCAGTTGCCTGGCAAGCATTCTGAATTCTGGGCGGTCGCTGCGATGTAACTACACCGGGACTATGCAATACCACATCCCCGATGGGGGCTTCAACAAGAACCATGCGGTGCTGGGCTCCCTTAAGGCATAGTGAGCAGTTCTCATCACGGCGCAATTTTACAAAGAACCCATCAATCCTTCATGTACGCAGAAACCCGCCAGACTGGGGGGGCGGTGGTGAGAAATGGGGTTTAGGAGGGTACCCCAGATGGAAGCAATTGCCGCGTTTGGCTGAATCTGCTGCACCACAGCCATGCATTGCTCGTTTTCTGCCTTGATTGTGAGGCACTACAGAACGTACGCGATCCACTTGCAGGAGAAGTGGCGAAGCAGCAACAGTGTACAAAGCATAGGCAGGGTAAAACCCAAGTTCTAGCTGGTGCTTCCTAGTATGCTCACCCAGTACCAAGCCGTCCTGTGACGGTCGCGAAGAGTCAGGGCTGAGATTTTCTGTGCATCTCACTTTACCACCCAGGAACCTTAGAAACCAGCTCACCGACGCATCGCAAGACATCTCCGAAGTAGGGCAGATTTTTGGGTGGACCCTTGGCTGAAAGAAGGGGCACATTGATTCCTCATTGTGATGAAAGGAAGAGATCTGAGAGTCTTCCAGGATGGAGACGACCTGGTTCCCTTTTCTCTGGTCAGCTCCAAATGCTGCAGGCGGAGTGCTGTCTTTGATTCGGGGCACAGGAGATGCGCAAAGCGGGTGTGGTGGAAGCTCGCACTCACATGCCTCATGGCCAGTCAACGACCTCGCAAGGGGTCACCTGTGACCCAAGTGCATAGAAGTTCCTCACTTCCTTCCAGCTCGTTCAGGTCCCGAAGAGAGTATCCTGCCCTCACGGGAGATGTACTTGCTCGGAGGCTCTCTGCCTCTTGGCAATGTCTTAGTACATTCTTACTCCGCATTGAAGCAGCGGAAGAGCCTCATGCAAAAGCCTTCACAGCTTTTGTGCTCTAAAGCGCAGAGCTTCATCGATGTTCAGTCAGGTCACGTCGGTTCACGTTGAGCCACTTGCTGGCTTTCAAGAACAGGGAGTTTATCAAATACATACTCCGGAAGGGGATTCCATAATTCCCTCCAATCCCATACATGCCCAGCGTTACCGAGGGCTCCTATTTTGAGACACCTACAGCTGAGGCTTAAAGTCATCAGCAGTCCAGTGGAGGAGTGCATTTATGTTCCTGGCGCAGAGTGTTATGATCAAGGCAGCGCCCGTCAAATTGTTTTGAGTGCCTTACTTTGGAGAAATGCCCATATGCTTGGGCAGGTGACCGCGACATCAATTATGACCCAGTGCTGAATGGATCCTCGCTAGCATGCGGAGAAAGTGTTGCAGATCAAACCACCTCGTGTGACATCGAGAAGTCTGCACAGGTAGCAGTGCCGACGCAACATGACTCAACTTTCCAAGGATGGGAAGTACGGAACCGTCGGCTGAGCTCTAGCGACGAGGGGTCCGGAGATCAAGGCCATGGACTTGTGCGACATTTTTGCAGATGGGAACTTCATTCATGACTTGCGGTAACCTGCCAGGTGGCCCGAACTTCCTCATGCAGCTGTACCAGCAGTGGCGCCCAGGACTGGACGCCTTCAGCTCCACAAGGTCGACGTGGCGGAAAGTGCAGGTGCCTCTTTGTTTCTGACTTGTTCTGAAACCCTACACCTGAATTCCCCAAACTGTACCTAGCCTGTCATTGCCTCTGCGCCATTCAGGCACAAAGGGATGCAGAAAATGAGGAAGCTCCAAAGCGGCGATCCCGGGCCCGCGGTCCGCCAAAGCCCCGGCGGCGGCTGCAAGGAGGCGCCGAGCCGCAACACTACCACCCTCGATGGCAGTTCTCTCTGCAACGGAAAGAGCTGAAAACCGCCAAGTTGCAAGCTGCTTTACACTTTCTTTGGCCTTAACTTTCATTTCTGCAAGGCCTCGAGGTGCTGCCGCGCGAGCGCAAGCGGCGCAGCTCACGCCGCCTGGACTTGAGAAGTTGCAAAGGTAGACTTCTTCTGGATCTGTTGGCGAAGAGCTTGTGGGGCAGCACGGGAGCCTAGAAGAGCATTGAGGGTGGGAGCAGAGTTCAGGTCAAGTTTGGGCAGTGAAGCTGAAAGACTTTGTCACACGACTAACTATGCTGGACAGCTGCAAGGTTTTGGATTCCGCCGGGACGAGCCGGTGAAGAGGCCAACGGGTAGCAAAACTATTGGGCGTGAATTCCATGTCAAGGAATTATGGTGAATTCAATCGCAGCAGAGTTGTGGATGATCTAAATGTGCTTCTGGCTGCGCATGTGCATTCTCCTTTGTCTCAAAAGCTGTCTCCACCACGAACCTGAGGCAGCGACGCCTTGTTGCGACGACATCCGCCCCTTGGCTATATGCCGCCCCCCGGAACTGTGTACGAATATCAGGACACCCAAAAAATCCATCACCACATGATACTCAGACTACCTTGGTAGCCTTGAGGTGATCATGGATGGGCTGCCTGTCCCAGATGGAGACGACAAGGCCGCATTGACCTCTCCTCACAACCGGCCCTGAACACATTAGTAAGGGAAAGCAATCTTTCTCCAGGGTGTTTCCAGGGCCATGAGGTAGTCCTGGCAGGCTAGGTTTATCTCAACACGGATGCGGAAGGAAACCCGCTTTCTCTTAGACTACTATCAAGTATGCAGTATTAACGGTACTACCCATAATAATGTTAGCCTAGACACCTTTCATGTTGAGGTTAAAGGCCATTGTGATAGGTGTGTTCTTACGCACCTGCAAATTGTCTTGCCAGGCTGCCGTCAAGGTAATTCCCATGAGCCGGTCCGCCTCGGACGTTTCCGCGCAGTTGGCATCTTGGCACCTGGGCTTGATTGGACTGGGTGATGGTTCGGAATGCTTAAAAAGTGCACTGCATTACAATCCAGTGAGCCCGATAAGGAACGAATATAGAATGACCATTTTCAGTACCCCAACAAGGAATTAATGCAGCGGACTACAGCCCTATAGGACATAGCAGTGCAAGGGCCCACCCTGCTGCTTGCATCACCTAATGATGTAATGATCGCAGCATTGCGCACTAGGCAGTTGGAAGCCAACCAGCTTCTGACCTCGAGGAGTCTTGCCGGATCCTTAGAGTCAATACAGCACGGCCATGCCCCGTTGCTTTTGCCGCTTGAGCAGAAGCACTCCGTCCAACAGAAGGACCTGACACAGGCTGCTGGAACACTTGGAACACTTGTGCCATACGAAACGTGGGCTGTGAGCTGAACACCCTGAGAGCCCTGAAGCAACTCCAAGTGAAGTGCTGAGAATCTGACATTGTTGCAGCAAGCCAAAGCCCAAAGACACGAGCAACAGCCATAACCCGGAAGCCATCTCAACGTTGTGCCCCTCCAAGATTTTCAGCGCCGAGACTGTGGTCATCAACAGGCTGCGGCAATGGATCCAGAATTTTGCAGTGGTGTTGGAGTTTCAGATGTGAAGGGTTGATGCGTCTTGACATGTGCATGATTATCCCTCATGCGAGCTCAAAGGCATAAACGCACAGGTTGCTAAACTCGCTTCTTGAGGCAAACGCGCATAGCAACCCACGTGGTCGTAAACTTCTTGCTCAGCCGAGGAGGACTTATCAACGGTGCTGACCTTTTTGCAACTTTCTATTCTGCACCATTTTGCTGGAAGGAGAAGTCTTCACGCAGGTGCGCCTACGATCCCTTCACATGATCAATTCCATCGCCACCTGGTTGATTGGGATTGGGGTCTAACATGTCCAATCATCTGACTGCTGCTGCTGCTGCTGCTGCTGCTGCTGCTTTCTCATAAGGCTCTGATACTTTCTTGTAACATTTACACCGTGGTCATGTGCTGCAGTAGCAGCATGCCCTCAGCATTGCTCTCACCCACGGAGCAAGCGCTCCCACGCAGTTAAGCAGCTGGGGCCTTCGTCTTGCTCTGAAGATTGGGGGTCCCCTAGGAAACCTAGTGAGACCATATTGGAGGACCCATGATTTTGAGAAGCCTGCGTCTCTGAGGTCATAGTGACCTCCAATGTGTACTGCCCCAGGCTAGCACAACCAAACTTGCCCTACCCATGAGCCTCTGAGGTAGCGATGGTCTTTGGTGGGATTTGGGTGTTGCTGCTGATCGGTGCGCTGCTAGCCGCTGGGAATGGGCTTACTGGTAGGCTGGTTGAGAGTGACACTGGCATGTGTCCATTTTCCTCTGGGGTCCATCTGAAGCCTTTCCCAGCCTACTAAAGTTAGAGTTGCATGCAGAGGTAAATGCCAGGTTCAGCCATGCCCTGGGAAATCTAGAGCTCTCAGGTCCTTGTTGGACGCATCATCATTGCCTTCTCGAACGGCAAGGCCTCTGTGCATTTTTCCAACCTCTCGACGCTGGGACAGCCTGATGCCGCTGCAAAGAGTAGGAGGAAGTGCATGAAGCGAAGCAGAAATCTGAACGCTCAGGACATATGTCCAGTGGAGCATCGAACCTCGGCGTGGATTTGCCTGAAGTTGTCCAGACTTCTGTCACACAAAGTATGCCAAACAAAGTATTCCATGCCCCGCGGTCCCTGCCCCGCCCGGTGGCCACCCTCAGCCCTTCCGAGAGCCAACAGGTAGTGATCGGCCTTGTGGTAGTGTCGCTTGGATGCATTTTTGGGAGATTGTGCGCCTCGTTGACTTGGGGTAATATTGGACAACTGACGCAGATGTTGCAATCGCTTGTAGGATCCTCATGGCAATGGAGCGTTGGGAGATGCTTCGAGCAAGAGATCTCATGGAGGAGCGCAAAGGGAAACAGACTGGGCAGAGTAACGGTTTCGAGAGGCGTTGCCCCGAGCAATCCCGAGCAAGTCTCCTGACTGTGTTGGGAAGCTTCTGAAGCGGACAGGTCCCAGTCACTTGCACCTCCAGAGCACATGTCTTTGTGCATTCGCGGGACATGGCAGCCAGCGTTCATCACAACAGTTTCTCAAGATGATGATTCCCTTTCGCAGGCCCCTTTTGCAGGGTACAATGGGGGCAGCATTGTTTGCGGGGTGTACAGGACTACTTGAGGCTTTATTGGGGAACCTGGATTTTGAGAAAACGTGAGTCTGCATGAGGAGTACCTGGCTACCCGTCCAAACGTAAGCGCCGTGAACCTCCAAGACTTCGACATCAGTTGCTTGGACCTGCGCTTGCGGTTTACGACTGGTCTCTAGCTAAGCTTGGCTTTGGGTTCCTTATATAATATGGAATATTATGGCATTCTTGGTCGCTTGTGATCCAAGGCTGGTTTACCAAGCTTCACACCGTGATCTTCTGGGCGTCTAAGGCTGATGGCAACTTGGCGAGATGCTACGGTTGGCACGCGATCCCCAGTAGCAATCCAGATAATGCCGTCCACAATTCCCAACACTAACCGCAAGAGTAGACCTCTCAAACTGTCTTGGATGGCTTGGCGTCAGGCGGAATACTCATCCTCATCTTCTTGTTCCACTCAACATTGGGGGAAACCTTTTTTCTCCCTAATTATGGAACGCCTCAGGCGACATGCTCATCCTCATCTCGTTGTTCCACATCTTGCTCCTCTTCCAGTTTCTCATAGCTTCGAAAGGCCAGCCAAGATTGGCGCTGCATCTCGGCTGGGCCAGGAACACTTTGAGAGACTGGGGGAGTGCATGCCGGCAATAGCCCCTCGTACAAATCCTTAGAGACAACTCAGTTTAGGGTTTCGGGTTGAGAGTTTATGTTCAAGCGGTTTGAAGTTTGGCGGTTCTGCATTCTCATCACCGCCATTTTCCCATCACTCTGACGAATACGATAATTGTGCTAAGATCATTCTGTTATTGCTATGAAGTTTTCTGCTGAAGACCGGAACCCCTAATGCAAGTTTTTTGCACACAATGCATTTCGAGCCCAAGGTTGGCGAACACGCTGGAAATGGCATTTCAGGACATCCTCCATTTGCTTCTTGGGCTGCTCTTGGAAGTGCATTTACTTTTACGAACTAGTAGTGTCATGCATCATAGTTCTTATGATATCATAGTCCCTATGCTAATCCCACGAGTGCAAGATGAGCGTCAAAAAGCAAACCTTTATGGCCAAATGGAAGCCGATGCTGTGCTTCATCGCTATAGGCTAAAGAATACAACTAGATTTCCAGCGATGGCATTGCTGTCTTGCGTCCAAGGTTTGTGGTCTTCTTGTTCATCTTCTCCGCTTTCGTCATTGCGGGCCACATTCTGTTTGGGTCGAAGCTTAGTGACTTCTCGTGGCTTGGCAGCAACAGACAGTAAACTGTAACAGACCTGAAAAGCTATCGATTCGGACTTTCGGGGTGGGCACTGAAGCACAACCGCTTAAGGATGAAGGTCTTCCATCCGACTGTAGCCCAGGACCTCGCTACACCCCTTCCCGATTAGTCCAGCAACTAATGCAGCCTCGCATCAGCTTCCAGATCTGAACAGGACCGTCAAGGGCGCTTTCGCAAAGTCTCTGGAACAGGACCGCGGGATGGGTCTAGGAGTCTGTGGTCATCAGGTTCAAGCTTCTATTGCCCCATTTTGCTTCAGAAAAATGTTTGTCACATGCAACTGGCATCCTGAGCATGTTTGCACGACATATGCCCTGCGATTTGCGATTTCATGCGCAATGCTAGGGCACATGGAATGTCAATACCATGCTATGACATGAGCCTATGCTGCAGGTGGTGTCTTTCAAGACTGACTGGGACGTGATTACAGAGCAGGAGTTTCGGCTGGATGGTGTAGCACACCCACTGTAGGGCATATGTTCACATGGTGGAGATATGTGGTATCGTGTTGGATTGCTAAGGACTGGTGGACGGCAGCTATTTGGATCTGGTGCATGATCATCGTGGTCAGTCTGGTTGTGATCAACATCGCTACTTGGCTGTCTACTGAAAGCTATCACCAGCAATGAGACATTGGCCAATTGAGATTTCTGCTGATGCCCTGCGCTGTTGGGAAGTTCCACCCGGAATCATAGTATCAAGAGCAGTGGTGAACTAGCTCAGCATCTCTCCAAAAATAATGAGAAGGCTGGAGCTGTTCGTGGATTGCAGAAACTGGGAGGTCCTGGCTGTCATCTTCGACTGCTACGGGAAGATCCGCGCCGGCATCACACCGGAGGACTGGGATGGCTCTGGCAATGCACCGTTTGGGACTTAGGGTTTAGGTAGCAATCGACTGGACCCGTAGTAGTCACTGCTGAATCCCCCATGCCCCATTCTGCCATCCTCTAAGAAGCACCTGGGAGACATGAAGTTCATGGGCAGTTTTTTTGTTCTTGGCGCTAGCCTCAGATTGAAAGCCGGCAGAGAGGCAGAGAGAGAGAGAGAGACAGTTATGTAAGGGATCTCCCCTTCTCCATAGCCTGAACGAAAGAAAGAAAAAAGAGTTATGTATATATATATACATATATATATACACATAGACATGTATATACAGTTGCACATGTAGATACGGAGGGCATATCATATGCTAGGTATTCAGGGGCCCTGCGATTGAGGGTTCATGCTAGGGGCCTATGGTTTCTACCTCGGAGATCCAGGATACTCTGTGGACCACTCTGCGACGGCACATCGTGGCAGCGCGGAACATGTCCAGCTGGTATGCTACTTGCCTTTGTTGGTCTGTGCTTGTGTGCCAGAGGGTCCAAATCTTCCTGCGCAGCGCCGAATCCAACGTAAAGATTCTCCAGCTTGGGACAGGATACAATCAAAAAAAGGGATTCTGCAGAAAGCTCGGCCAGAGCTTCAACAGAACCCGTATGGGAACAACGCAGGTACAAAGGGTTGCAGCAGACTTTGTCAGGCCCACCGCTACGAGAAATGAGTTCCTCTAGGGTAGTAAACCCTAAGCTCAAAGCCCTTAAGCTGGATCAAAGTTAGGGATTATTTGTATTTTTTGGGTATGAGATTCCTTGTATTTCTCAAAAAAGGGCCTTGTGGGCTAAGTAAAATTCCCAAGGAGCAACCTACAAGTTGTCTGAACTGAAACCATCCTCCCCGATCTGCAGCCCACCTCGCCAGACTTCCTTCGATTTGCTGACTGGGATCAACAATAGCAAGTCGGAAGTCATCACCAAGCAAGGCGTGCTCACATGTGCCAGAATGAAGCGCTTCGCAGACCATGCATAGGAGTTTCGCAAAACGGGTATCCATTTGAATACCCTTTAGATGATACACGCCCAGTTGACGGCACCCTTCAAATCAAGTCTTATCTGCCCTCGTGATTCGTGGCTGGCAGGATTCCGGGACATCTTCCGTGGCATCACTGACGAGCAGGCGGCCAGCACAGCACCGGGTACCCTTAAAGTACCACCACCTTCTTAGCCTTCCTGAATCAACCCTGATTGAGGAGGCAAACTCGAAAGAGTAGCATTATAATGCCTTGCTGGCCGCTGGCCACCATCGCCTTTTGAGCAAGAAATGCAAGAGTTTGCAAGTAGGCAAAGAAAGAGAGAGTAATGTAGCAGCACGACTAATTGACTGGAGTACAGTATACTGTGGAAGGAGGAAGTTTTTCGACACCTCATGTACCCTACACTTCATGATTACAAGTTACAGTAAGTTACAGTAGTTTTCAGATCTTCGGTCTTCAAGATGCCTCCGTCCACCGTAGTCCACCGTACCATACCTACATAATGGTGGTTGAGAAGTAAAAGTGGTAAATTCAATCCGCCAGGTGGAGCAAATTTTCGACTTGGCTGAGCTGCGAGCTGTCAACGCAACTTGGCCTGTGAGTGCCCATTCAAACGATTTGTTGGACGCCAGGGCTTGGATTCGAGGGCCGGATCAAAGCGCAACTTGGGATTCGATTCTTCTTGTACCCTACAGGAACACACTCCTAGACTCTACATCAAGGACCAGAGAATCTGTCCCAGTGAGTTTGCCTGAGAGTTGGAGGACACAATCCGCGGCCAACCAACCCTTCTGGGCGAAGCCATTGCCAGCATTCTGCTGGGAGTGGATGACATGCGAGACGGTATCCGCACAATACAGGAGGGGCAGTGCATTCGCTTCCCCAATACATGGAGTCCCATAAAAAGCTTTACAAACGGGGGCGGCGTTGGGGTCTCATCTTACTTTGGGGGAGATGACGTGGAAAGCACTCACTTATTTCACTCTGCAGGACAAACAGTTCACCAGCTACAAAGAGATGAAGATCTGGATGGAGGACGGCGCTGTGCCTGCAGCAACTTCTCCACAGGGCATGGCAGTCTGCACTCCGCAGCAAATATCAGCCCCCTGGCTTGTGGCAATCAGGAGAGACACGAGCCGTTGCTGGCCCCAGAACCTTGGCTCATGAGGCTGAGGTTTGTTTTGTCGCATGTCGCTCGTTCTGGCACGTAGTTGCTTCAAGAGCTTCTGTGAATATGTGGGATTTTCAAGAGAAAGATCTACTTCGGGTTCCCTATGCAGGGAAGCCTTCTACTTCAGGACACATAAGAAAGGATCCCTGTCTTCAGAAGTGCTCATACTGCGGCTGACTCTCAGTATTGCATTTTCATGGAGTAGACGGATTATAATTTGGATCCATTTCCTTCATTGCTTCTGGCAAGAGGAATTACACGTCAAAACTCGCGGCCAATCCACATCTCCATCCTTTCTTATCAATGAATCAAGGCTCTATCGCTTTGAAGCTGTTTGACCCTAGTGCCTAAGTGCACGCACGTCATTTGCTGACACGCTTATTGGACTATAATCCCAGTTTTAACTTCAATTTCCATGTTCTTTTGCATTATGTTCCCCGTCTTTGGGTGACCTGCTCTGAGAAGCTCTGAGGACACGGTTTGGGACTTGGGTCGCTGCCTCAGCATGCCGGAGGTTGTGGCAGTTCTCTCTGTGGCATGTGGAAGTATGACATGAAAATATGAAATAATACTCCAGAATACTCCTTAGTATCGGGCCCCAAGAAGTTGACTCCTTGCTTCCGGAAACCCCACAGCCGAATCTTACACACTTCACCATGCCTGTGCAATCTTTGCTGACACGTCCTAAGGCGGGATACCTTATATTTCCCTACATATCCTTGGATATAATTGTCTCCTGATTTATCATTTTATACCCCCACGACCCCTACGCGAACTGCAGTCTTTTGGTATGCAGGTCCCGCAACATACATCATCACTTGCCCCTACGGCTGCGATGTCCGCGCTCTGCCGGATGTGAATTCTGAGCTAATCACCAGGCTGGGTCCCACCACATGGGCTCAGGAATGCCAATCCACCATCTCAAAGTGCATGGCACATCTTGAAGTCCATTGCCGTGTAGAGTACTACAGATTTGATCCTGTTCCCTCAACCTTTATCCTCCTCCATGTTTCCATTGCCAGGCTGGCCCGGGGAGACAAAGTCGAGATTGCGCGGACAAAGGATTACGTCGCAGGCCCATGAAGTTTGCCATCCAGAAGCAGTGGTGTGGAACCGGTTTTGCTGATGACGTGATTTTGGCCACCCTAACCCAGGAAGGACCCTCTGATTATCATATGACGGTCATGGGGTCCTCCTTATGAGAACCGGCGGGGCCAACACTATTTTGCTACCTTGGATATGCAGTGCTGGACCCAGAGCAGGCAGAAATTGTCGAGACAATCCCAGAACAGTCAGCCTAACTTTGAACAGCGACCTTGTTTAGAATGGAGGATTTCCCCGTACATCGCGCAGATAATCTAACTAATCCGACAAAGGGGCCCCGAACAGGAACACACAATTTTGCAATACCCCCTTAGAAGCAAGTCCAACTGCCTCCAGGGGAAGGTCTGCGGCGCTTGATGGGCCAGTTGCAGGACAACGCTGGATGGCTGCCTCTTTCGGACCCTCCTTTGCAAGCAGACCTGTGAGCTCAATCAGTTGACAGTGTGTTAGTGAGAGTAGTCAAGCGTGTCGGCCCAAGGATCCAGATACAGGCAGGGCTGGCCAAACTGTGGCCACATCGCCTGCAGGGTCTCGCAAGTCTTGAACTGGCGCAACAGACTTGCTGGTGAAAAGCACTGTGCACCCTCATTCTCAGCTGCATTCTTGCAGGCTATGTTTGGGCGGAGACCTGGGAGGACCCAGCTGCAGGTTTCAAGATAAGCGCCCCTTTTAGAGCTTCCGTGTTAAGGTCACCAGATATATATTCCATCTTGTTTTCCAGAAAGTGCTGCTTTTATCTCAACTGTCAATAATACTTATTTCCTCCAACACTGCCCCATCGGCGCCACAGGACCCCAGCAAGAGAGAGCCAGATTCTGCGGGCACGTACACCATCCTTCATGCCTCTTGGCTGGATTTGAGAGGGGAATCCTATACTTGTCTTTGTCGAAGGCTTTGCACAGCGCAGCGTGGCAACTCACACTGAAGAGGGTCTTGAAGCATTGGCCTGAAGTTTTTGCATTAGAGATGGCACAGCCAGAAGGAGGGGTAACGATCCAGCGATGGCTGGATGGAACTGCCAACCCCTGCCATCATGCATTGCCAAGGATGGAGCACATCTTCGCCAGGACCCAACCTTTGTCCCAGGAGGGTTGCAAACGTGTGGCCTATGTTATACACTCAGAGTTGCGCAATCCAATTGTAAGCTTCTGCAAGACGAACCTACTCGTCACTCAGGTTCGGGGTCTCCAGCGCCTGCAACCCAAACCCGCTGCAGTGCCAACAACATAGATCAACCAAACGGGAAGACAACCCATCGCTAGAGCCATTCCAGAACAGTAAAGCTTTAAAACGCACTGCCGCCGGCATCTGTACCACTGTGGAGGACATCAGTCTGTCTTCGCCCCTTGTGGGAGAGTTTCGCGAAGGGCAGATGGTCAACGTCGTCGAAGTTGTGCTGGACTTCGAGGGTTGACTAGAAAGGGTCGAGGCATGTGGTTCCATTTCATGACTCACTTAGTTCCACAATTGCCTACTGAGCACCAGAGAGATGCACTTGCTATGCGTGAGAGATTGGATCGATCGGAAGGGCAAGCATCCCTGAGGGATCGGGTAGTTAATCTCTTAACCGGAAGGACCCCCATGTTTTCCTCATGATTCGATATTCCCTTAGCTCCTTTTCATTTCTGTAAGGAACCTCCATGAGCCCCCAGATGTTTGAAGCTGCCATTTCTCGACAGCTACGGCGCTTCACAATTACACCATGTTTTCCTCGCAGGCCTAACGCCTTCCCATATTAATCATTTCCCTGAAGTAATCCCAATAAGTACACAAGCATTGTCAGCACTCCCCCACTAACAATAAAGGACAAGGGTAATGTCTCGTAACCTGGTTAGCCCGATGCCAGGTTGGTGCATCAAGATGGGACTGGGCCTTTCGTGTGGAACGTTGTTGCGCTATAAAAGCGTACATTGCTCCGTATTCCACCTTGTATTCTTACTGCGTACAGGAGTGTAGCACTTGCCGATGCGGGTCAGGAGTACTTCGATGAGGATCAGTACGCTTCGCGCAAACGTGGGCGAGTTGCGCAGCTTGTCACACGTGTAACCAGCCCTATCAAGGTAGAGCACGGGAAGCTGCTTGCTCCCACAATACCTAAGAATGATCCCTAGGATCCATCATGAGCACTGAGGAGTTACAGCAGCCTAGAAGCTAGTGCCTGACTCAGTCCATCCATACACCCAACCCACCGGAATGTGAGTTTGTAGTTCAACAGGGACACTAGAGTCACCAGATGATGTCCTCATTTAGTCATGACATGATATGTATGAGAGATGCAAAGCACTCACTCTGCAAGACCGCAAGGCCACAACATTTCTCACTGCCTTTCGCATGTGGGCTTTCTCAAAGCAGGGAACTTGAGGATGGTGGCAAACATCTAGAGTACAAAGGGGGTATGCGGGTCGGACCGGGTCGGTATGCGGAACTCATTTTGAGAAGCTCCCCTGTGGTTCAACACGCACGTGGCCTGACCCTTTGCACATCATGTTCCTACAGCCTACGTAGGCCCAAAACCTCGAGCGCTAATGCAACCAAGGAATCCACCCGGCTGGATCTCACTGGTCGATCGGGATTCTGGATATCGCTTTGCACAGCGTTTAGCTGCCCAGCTGTAGCAGAGGGATGTTTGGACCCGCCTGTTGATTTGCGGGACTCCTCTCACTCGATTTCCTCATTCCGTACTTAGCACCAGAAATGTGTCGGCGACACCATAGTATGGCCACTATTGGCCACTTTGAAATACATTAAGTCCATGCCGTCTGGATGTTTTTGGTGCCTGAAATACCTCTCATTCTGCTTGCTGATGTTGTTCAGTCAGGTCGCCCAGAGCGATCACGCGGCTGTTGAAGGGTTTGTGCGCGCAAGCAACCGTCACGTACGCGTGGGTCTGACATTCACACACGGACCCTGTATCGTCATGCAGCATCATGTTGAAGGTTCACGGAGGGTGTCTTGGGCTTTCAGTATGAAACCTTTGACCTTGAAAATGCTTGTGTGCGGAAGTCATGTAGCGCCGTTTTGAAGGACGGAAACCTTAACTAGGGGAGTGAAGGACGTTTGTTAGAGGGATGCTTACTGAGAGTTATACAGGGCCTTCTAAGGTATCCATTCACCCAGTCCCTTCTAACTCTTGCTCTGCTGACAGTATTCTTGCCACTGCGAGTGTGAAGATTGGTTCCCCTGCCTGCTCGCATGGTCACAGTGAGTTTTACTGCTTCTATTCTGAGCAGCTCTGCAAGGCGACAATCTCTGACACATTGATCCACAGAAGGACAAGCAACAGCACATGATGCACATGCAATGTTTCACATCAATGTTTGAGGGTCAATAAACCTGTAAACAGCCGTTGGCCCAGGCCGAGTATATCCCCGACGGTATGTACGCAGCGTAGCTGCACTATTCAAACGCAGGGCAGGACGAAGCATGCATGGTTTGGCGCAGGCTATCCTCGGATTTGCATAGCGTTCAGGACTGTGATTGATGTTCTGTGGAGTTCAGGATTCAGCGCGATGATGATTGCTACCACACGTGCCATCAGATGTTCTTTGATCATGTGATGCTTCCCTTGAGACAGACCGAGGTGGTGAAGAAGGACACCACTGCATACACCGAGCCAGGTGGAACAGAGGTGCTGAGCCACCTCCATGCGAGGAGCTCATCTGGTCTCTGCATGAAACTCTCGCTCTGCCAGTGTCTGCCAGCTCTGTAGACCCTCGCACTCCTAATCCAGCAGAATTATCCATGAACCTCCAAGAAGAGACCGTGAGGCTATGGATTCGGTTCAAGTGGTCAGCTTCAAGCAGGTGGCCGCCAGCTTGGCATTCTCCAGTCATGCACTTTTAACATGTCCAGGGCGACACATACAGCTCCTGTCAGTGCATGCTAGCTGGGTTCATGAATGATCAGAATCGAAGATTCCAGGGCATTACTGGCGGTCAGATGCGTGAGATGCTGGAAGCCAATGCATTTGAAGCGAGCAGACCGGTTCTGGAAGCTCGTCTCACCCTGCAGGGATACCCTCCCCCAAATCAACATGGAACCCCTAATTTAATGGGGCGATATGGGGCGCAAACATAGATTACTATCACTATCCGATAACATCCGATACTTATTATCCTTAAACACAAGGTTGGGGGAGGGTACCTGAAAAAAGCAGCAATGATGGGGTTTTCTTCCAAAGGATGGTCAGATCTGGGCCAACACAGTCGTTGGAGGCGCGTGTTCAGGAGGGAATACAGGTAGCATTGTAGGGATATCTAGGGGGGCTGTATATTTATACCGAACTGCATATAGGAAACACTAGGCATTCACTTTCCCAACTCCCACTTAAGCTGGTGTTGAGAGCTGTTACGCCACCTCAGCAGCTTGCGGTGGAGAGCCTTTTGACTTCAGCTTCGTAGTGCCAAATAGAGAACAGCGGGATGGATCCCTGTACAAATCCTTGTGCACTCCCCCAAAACCAATTCCCGACTTGTCTACTTGCGGTGCATGTCCTGTTGTGGACAGACAGGCTGCGAAATGTTGTTGTAGCACATGCTGTCATGCAGGGTGGCTCTTGCTTTCCGAAGCCGACTACAGGCATCTTGGAAGATGGAGCAACATCGATCTGAATGTATATATATATATACACACCTATCAATCAATCAATCAATCAATCAATCAATATATCTATCTAGAATCATGTGTACAGTTCCATCTCATACCATGCCATGTCTCATATTGCGTATTGCACTATGTCCTACACGCACTCCGTGCTAGACTGCTGTTTCGTGGCCAATGTGTAAAGTCTCGAGAGCTTTGCTTCTGCGGAGTGAATATTGGTACTCTAACAGGTTTAGGATGGAGGATGCAATATGGGTATTGCTTTAGGACATTGTATTCACTTATCCGCTCCGCCGCAGACACCAGTAAATCTGTCCTGAGGTCGGATCTGCCAGTAGCCGAGACAGTCGCTGCCGTGCAGGAGCACTGGGTTCAGGGCTTAGTTTTAGGAACCCTGGAGATAGGGAACAGATTGTACCCCCTTAGTATGCACATTATATCCCTCTTGTAACCCTGCAGAATTTTTAAAAAGCAAGTAGGTTTCCCAGCCCATCTGAGGGCCCCTCAGAAGTAGGATGTGGTGGGATGCCGTCAGATAAAGCAAATGTTCCCAAAGCCATGCATGGATAGTTATCAGCGCAAGCTTACCCTCGAGCTATCGAGATTCTTGTCGAAACCCAACTCCTCTGAGCTCGCTACGAGGAGGTTCATGAGTAGTTGGAAGTTTGAAGTGGGTATAAACCCGGCTTGCATTCACCCAGGAACCTCCAAGTATCTTTCCGGTCCAGCCCGCTGGAAAGTTTGGCTAGCACTTTGAGCGGTTTCTGAAGATCATGAGTCTCTTTTTAGGGGTCCTGGTAATAAGGGTCACCAATACCATTCCTAAGAGGAGACTTAGTTTTTGTGATAGATGCAGTTTCTGGTCTGGATGTTGAACTGTAAGACCCCAGACCTCGAATCCTGAAGGATTGGGCCCCGCATCTGAGTAATTCAGCGCGTCAACAGTTCGGAGCCCCTGTTTGGGAGTCCCCATAATCAGTGCTATAGCATGTACATTGGGCGCCTTGCAGGGGCTTTGCTGTTGTTGTCATCTCTTTAGCCTGAAAACTGTCGTGTCACTTCAGAATGAACCCTTGAGCCGAGAATCTTCCCGAATCAATAGGTTGAATGTCTCCTAATTTTGCCCCCAAATTCCTCAAAGCCCTTGAACCCAAGCCCGAACTCTCCTAGCTCATATGGTTTTCCCGACTTATGAAGAGGTGGATGGTCTGAGAAACAAAACAACCCAAATTCTCTTGTGATCGCTTGCAGGCTGCCATGCCCAGTGATGCGCCTCGATGGGCTTCAAAGTTGCAAATAGACCCTTCTCCATTGCCATTGTCCTTTAGTCTTGGGATTAGAAACATGTTTAGGCCAAAATTGCAAACTGGAATTAAACAAGCTCCCTTCTGGCATCTCGGCGGGGGCCCTGCAAGCGAGGCTAAGTTCTTATCTTGTTACAGGCAAGGACACCAATCAGGAAGCAGATGCATGGCAAGCAATATCTGCTGATGGCTCATGATGAGTCCTTTTCGCGTGCGGCTCTCTGAGAACTGAAAATCAGTTTCCTTCACTGGCTTCCCCGGGAGCCCATTACCACGCAATTACAGTATATGCCGTAAATCGAGTTCAGGAACTGGTTTAGGATAGCTTCCTCGAATAAAAGGTATGACTCCTTCTGCATTCCACAATGATCCCAGGTTTCGGATGGCCTGCTTTGCCATTTGCAGCGCCAGCATCGGAACATGCTACGCATTACAGAGACGCCTGGCTGCAGGGTTCATGAAGGGCCTTCATACAGCTGTTACGCATGAGGGTCCTCCTAAAGCCTCTAGAGTCTCTCTCTTTTTCTTTAGATTCTTGCTTCCATGGAATGATGTCATCAATTGCATGAAATTTGTCCGAGGCATTTCCAAGACATCCAGCAGGGCTTCGAGAAGCTGGGTTTGAACCTGGAGCCTGTGCCAGTCTGCAATTACTTACAGCTTTAGAGCGACAGAGCGGGGGGAAGTCCTTCACCTTATGCACGGCTTTAGCAGAGCCGCCAAGTACTAGTTAAGACGTCTTTCTGTGGAAAGTGCCGCGCAGTCTTTGCCTTGCCATGTGGTGGCCGAACCAACCGCTGGTGCATGATGCCCATCTAATCCCCTATATTAGTCCCCACATACTTACTCCCCCCCGTTTCTGTCAAGCACTCAAACATCGTAAACCCAATTCTCTTCCACTCCCTTTAAGAATCTTTAAGAACCAGCAACTGGCAGGTGCTTGAGGTCGACGAGCCAGAAGCCCCAATGTTCGACCATATGCTGCAGCCTGCGCGGTTTGCGCAGTCGAACCCAGGCTGGGGCAGTAACTCCTTGACGGCAAAACCGCCGCTGTTCTACTCTCACTGCAATTGGCAGTTGTAAAAAAGCATGGCGCCACGGACTAACTAATTAAGTCCGTCTGTCCTTTACGTTCCAGGCCGCGTCGCAGTACGTCGGGAGAATCCTGCGGTGAACTTGCCGCGCCCAAGTCCTTCGGCTTGCACCAGGGCATGCCTTGAATGCTGAAATTGACTAACATGGGGCAAGATTGGGACTGCTTTGAAAGCGTCGAGGAGTCGGTTGTGGGCTATTCCTGTTTCACGTGCCTGGGGTGCCTCAGGTGCTACAATGACGTCGCAGGCCTCGTTGTCGGATTTTGGACATGTGTTTATTGGAGTTGGCCTGTGGAACCTGCAGAGAATCCTTGAAACGCGCAGCTTGTGCCTCGAATCTTTGTCCCTGAAGGCTCTGAAGAGTCGGCTCAATCACTTCCTAACGTCCATCTGAGTGTCCACCGGCTCCTGTGGTCTGGCGATGTAGATTCAAGTAGATGTCCAAGAAGACCAGGCATGGGGCTTTGGCTGGAGTCGCCAGGGGGAGACTCCAGCTCAGGAGCTGTGGACCACTTAAAGCTAGGTAGGGAAACCCCAAGTTATAGCCTGCTACAATCCTGCAGTCTCCTATAGTCAGTAGTAAACTATATGAATAATGCTAGAGTGTCAGGTTATACCTACCTAGAGTTAAAGAAATTCGCGAGCCGCTGAGCGGACGCAGCCCAACGCACAGCCTTACAAAGTGAGGGAGTGTTACCATGTTACCACCGGCAACGTGAGGGAGGATCCAACCAGCGAACATCACCCACTTGCTTGCCAGGCAGGGAGGCTTAGATATGGGAGTTTACAACATGATCCCAATTTTCTGACACACTCTCAGCATCTTGTATCTCGCGAGATCCTCACTTGCTTCAGACCAGTATGTTTGGTTTACACTAAAATGAGGATCCCACATGCGAACAACGGCACCGAGGCGAAATTAATTGTCTGCTACCGATACTACCATTGGTCTATTAGGGTTTTGAGAAGGAAGAGAAGCTGTCATTCCAAGAAGAGAATCGGCTCGCCCAACGAGCTTAAAGTCACGTCCTTAGCTTAGTCGCAAAGAAGTGGGCCGTCAATTGCTTCAATTTGCTTTGCCGAGAATGCTCCCCGCAAGAAACCATTACAGTATAGTCTGGGACGGGAGCAGCAACTCTGCCCCGAATTGCTTACTTATACTTGATTGGAGGTGCGTTCCGCTCAGACTACCTTGGATTTGGCAAACAAGTTGGTATTCGTCCCCACCGTAGGGACCTATCGCTACAAGGCTCATTTGGGGTTGTTTTAGGTGCTGCGGTTGCCAAAGTTCTTTTATTGTGGGTATAGACATTCCAACAGGCCGTGCACCATGGCTTGTTGACATTCTCGGGCGCCACCTGCTGTGGGAACCAAATGCAGTTCACGTAACGAGCGCTGGGTCGGGAGGAGCGTTTAGAAGGAGTGTCGGATGCAAGTAATGCTGTTTGGCGCATTGTTAGTGTCTCAGCCCTAAACCTGAAACTTACAATAGAGCGAGTTGTTGAAGATGCTCTGAGACCTCCTTCGACCCATGCAGTAGGCAGTGAACTCAAAGCTCCACTGCCAGCTTAGAACCTGTTTCATTGGACTGGGCACTGGTAATGACCTTTCGCCGCAATCTCCTTCTGGAAAAAGAGTGCCAAATCCTTTTGCGATGCTGAATAGGAGTGGGGCAGGGAATGCACCATCATAGGGGTTCATATGGTAAATATTAAAGGGATCCCATTAATTGTCAAGCTGCTGGTAGGTTCTGAACTCGTGTCACAGATTGTTGGCACATGTTAGCACACTTTTGCAGTCATGCAAAGGCCCCGAGGGAAGGTTTCAGCAGTCTTGCTCGTCGTGCCCGCACAACAAGTCTTAGAAGCTTAGCCGCTTAGCCATGCGTGCCTGGAGGCTGCCATCCCTTTGTCGTCACTGGCTATTGGTTTGTGGGTAGCCTCAGCCAACAGCAAGTCCGAGAAGAAAAAAGCTGTCAAGCGCCTACAATACATGTCATATGTGGCACACTAATCTGCAGCTGCATGCGTCCATAGATATGCAGACTGTATACATACATCTATCCCAGCTAGCCGAGGTCGCATACATTCCAGCTCTTGGTTTCGAGTGGTGCTGCGGCGCGGCAGGCCAGGCTGAGCAAGGCTCTGAGGGGAGCGCGCATTTGGGAGACTACCCATGGCGCATTTCATATATGACTGCTTTGATTTCCGTCGCTCGGTCCCTTGCAGCTCTTGAACGGGGACAGGCCATGCAGACCCACATTCTGAGCCGACGCCTCAGGATGCAGAAAGGCTGGGTGCAGTCTTGGGACTTGGAATCTTGACTCGGCTCCCAAGCCCAAGTACCGGCGCTTAAGCCTCTTGCATGGGATCTTGTGATCGAGGCGGCTCCTTCACATTTACATTGCCTATAGAGACGCTATGGCAAGACAGTTTGCGCATCCTTGTGCCGCCTTGTGCCGAATGCGTCGTGCCCAGTGGTGGAATGAACTAATTAGATGTTGCTTGTGCCTTAGGCCTTCTCGAGCCCTTGTACAAACGCTGTTCAACAGGTTAGTTTGCCACAGAAGGTGCTTGATGGCGCACCCCACAATTTTTTCGTAGGTGGCTGCAGGCGCAGTCGCTTCGCATAACTTTCAACCGTGCCCAAGAGCCCTGCTGAGCTGCGTTTCGCTGAGACTTGGATGCCTCCATCCCAGCCTCCCTGAGTTTGCCTTCAGATGCAGCGCCCTCAGAGCCCTCAGCAAAGTTGCCTAGGCTGACGTAGTGCTGCATAGCTGTGACTCTCTGAGTCTTTTTTCATAGTTGTTGGATGCTGTAAGCCCTGCAGGTTTGGGCATACTACAGCGCTCCGGTCATGCGCGTGCTCCCGCCTGGGTCTTGGTCCAGCTGCCAGAGCTCATCGCGCGCAATCTTGAAACTTCCATCAATTGGCCATGATCAACTCGGTGGAACTTTACTACAACTTCACCACTTGAAAGCCTTTAGGGTTCCTCTGTCTCAGAAGGGAGCCCAAACTTAAAGTTCCATTGGGGGATTAGAGAGCAGCCAAGTCAAGTGCTTCATGTTGGGTGCACCAACATTGCACAGCATGAAAGCATGAAACAGGTGCTGCCACAACTGTTTACTGGCGTAACCTGATCAAGAATATTGTCACATGGTGTCTTAGCGATCCTATTCACCTGCCTCTGAAATGATATAGAGTTGTGTTTTCTGTAGGGGAGGTCCCCACAAGAAGCATGTTCAGGCCAGCTGCAGAGCTCTTCGTGTCACCCTCGGATGGTTTTGCCATGAGCGCCTTGGATTAAACAAGTTTCAGGGCTAGAAACTAGAGTTTGGCGAGGTAGGGAAAGCCCAAGTTCTACGCAGGTAATGTCCTGTAGACTCTTATGATCAACGTGATTGATCATTCTAGTGTTTAAGAATGTACCTACCTACGGTTTCGGGCTTCACCCCGGGCTCGTGATTCGTGAAGTGCCATAGAGTCCTAGCAACAAGCGTTTTTTTTTTGATTGCAGCCACGCTAAAACCAACAATGTTTGGGACGACTCCGAAAAGGTTGCGTTTCTCAAAGCTCTGGGGCGGTTTGAGAGTCCCAGAAGGGAAATTGGATGCGGGTATTTTCTCAAGCAGTTTATTGTAGGGGTGCTTGGATGCCGACTGATGTCAGCTGGGGCGGGTTTCATGTGGGGCTGAGCTGCGCGGGTTTTGGAGGCATGTTTTTGGCTGTCTTTTCCTTACTGCCCGTCATGTACGTGGGGCTTGGGCGGGTTGGCAGTTGGGGTTGCCGGGGTTTGGAGTTTGCCTCCCTTCATGTGGTGGCTTGGGGTACAGTTTCTGGAGGCTTGTATCTACCGTCGAAAGCTAAAAGGTGGACCAACCCCCTGGGCCTTCGAATCCTTGGAACTTGAAGTGAACGAGAGGAATGCGACATTATATGGATACTGGAACCTACAAGTCTTGCAAGTCTTCAGGTGCAAAGTATTTTGTCAAAGAGATTGATGAGGAGGCTAATAGTGCCCTAAAGCCTAACGTGCCAAAGCGAACATGTGAAATCCTTTTAACCTCCGCTCCAAAAGCCTAGGATCAAGGGTTAAGACTCCGAGCTTTAGATTTAGATATCCTGGCCGCACAAGTCAGCTAACTTTGTCTTACCTCAGAAGGCCGCGATTGTTGGGGGATGTTGGGGGTCTTTGTATGGTGTGACTGTCGTATAATAAACAGTCTAAGTTCGAGACACCCAACTGTCAGTATGCTTGCAACCTCTGAATTCGTAAGCCCTCAAGCTGAGGGACGCTCTTCGCCCTGAAAGTTCGAGCTCTCTGCCTAGCAGGCCTAGCTGTTGAATTAGGACTCCACATAAGCAGGCCATATGAGGAGACCTTAGAAAGGGTCTCAGGGAGGCCTTGTCTATGTGTCTTTTATGGGCCCCGTCGAGGATATATTGGTTCAATTGGTGCAGCATTTCAGACGATGATACCTTTGAGAGTTCATCAGAGCGAGCCCGCTCCTTTGGATCTTGAGAGAGACTCCCGTAAGTGTTGTTTTGTAATTTCCTGGGTATCTCCTTTGAAAAAAGCCACAGGGAGGTTCTCAAAGTCAACGCTCTTTTGTTCTAGTGTACCCAGATGTATGAAAAGACATGCGGACGGGGGGGGGGTACTGCTGGAGGCGTTCCTGTCTGTAAAAATCAGACAAACTACCAGTAACTACCAAAGCAAGGTAATGTGGCAATGTCTCGGATGTTGCTGAACCTGGGAGAGTAAACATTGACATCTTGTGTGATACCGAGACTTCCAAGAGTTGGAGTTCTTTCTCACGCAAGAAGCATCAAACTACAAGTCAACAAGTAAGCACTTTGTGTCACAGGAGGGTGCTAAGTGCCGGTGAAAGTCTGGGCCGCGAAGAGGGACAAAGCGGAGGTCCAACAGATGTGATCGCACGGAATTGCCTGCGATCAGCAGGGATGGTGGGACCAAAGCGGCCTTCCCATCCCCCGCCTCCTCTTTCATGCGCAAAATCAACGTTTACTGATGTGCTGCCCAAGGCAAAACTCAGACAATCATGTTGCAGATAATGCTTGTAAGCTTCCGTTCAGCTTCTAGAGCTTTCCACAGGTAGCATGGCATCTCTTGAGTTGGGGTGGAATGGCGCAGGTTGTCAGTACGCTTTCCGCGTCGCACCCCGTGCCGCGGATGTCGACAATATGGTGAATGCCACAGGCAAGCCCACGTGAAGCCATGGGGCATTTCACGGTGTTGCTGTTGCTATTACTGCTAATGTGCGTACTCGTATTAGTATTATTATCACTACAAATTTACAAGCTGTAGGACCTCAGTGTTCCTGCGCGCGAGCAGACGAGTCCAACTGGCAGGCGCTGGCTGCTTTCAGTTGCATATGTTTCCCACTGTGCCTTGGCACGCTCATGATGATACAACCCGAGATACAGGTGGATTTGATACCAACAGTTACTAGCATGTTTGCATTAGCCTTCAGACTTTGCGTTGTGACATCAGGACCTGCGGCCATGGAGTTCAGAGGGAGAGGCGCAGCGGTATCTTCTAAGTGTTACATGATGCCAGTTCCTTTGGCATGAAGCCCTGCCCACATTCGCCACGGACTGCCGTGTCGCAAGGACACGCTGCCGCTTCTGGCCGGCATTTACATCCTGGAGGCACGGATCTGGAACTCGGCGCAAGTTGTTTCTGTAGAAGTAGCGTCTTCACAACCGCGCCGCCAGAGTCAAAGCTCAATGGATGTCATGGTGCCCATGGCAGTGACAGTTGCTTCTGGAAGCCATCTTCGGCAAGTAACCTCAACGCAGAGAGGCACGACGTATCACCCGGCCGAGTAGTTTCCCAAGGAATACTCTAGTCCCCACCAGTGTAGACTCAGATGATGTAGTAAGACTCTGTTCTCCTTCTCATCTCGGATTTATCGTATTTAGGAAGCAACTGCTCGCCAGGCCCGCGTCCGGTCTGCGGATGGTGGAATGACACGGGCCTGCCGGGAGCCAAGGCTTCCAAAGCCTCAAAGCCAACAGCACCGAGCAAACTGGTGCATGAAGGGGAGTGGGTGGAAGGAAATAGGGAGACTGTTGCAGAGGCTTTAGTGTGGGAAGGGGAATATGTGGGGATCATGTAGGGGTGATTGTAGGGATCCATTCATCCTAAGCACAAGTAGTTCTGAAGCATCCGCTGGTTTTGTTGAACCAGTCCGTCCTGCAGCCATCTGGCTGCAAGCGCAATGATAGCATATGAGAACAAGGAACACCACGAGGAAGAGAAGTCAACGGTTTGTCAGTGGCTTTGCGAACCTATACGTTCACGCCGCAACCACCAAAAAGCCTCGTTGGCGTGAGCGCCCGCAGCTCAACCCAGTCCCCACAGTCTGATCCGCAACGCCGATTCTCACAGCCATGCTCATAAGAAGGACGCGAACTAGCAGGACTGGACCATAGCAATCCATCATGCGAAAGAGAACTGAGCGGGGAGCCCGCATGTAATGTAATAGAACATTGCTAGCCTCCTTTTGGTGATAGCATTTTAAAAGATTATGAAGCAAGCCGGCCTCAGAGCGCAAGCTTGAAGGACCTGGCATTGGTTGCTTGCGGCCTGTGCCGCCCTGGTCCTGCTCTTCAGGCCATCTTAAGACAGGGGCCTTAAATGGGGTTACAGGGACGTGTCCCATGATTCATGATAGACCCAGAACTCGGCCCCAAGAATGGTGCGAGACCCGTCTGAGTTTCTGACGGGTTCCAATGCGTCCGCGAGCCCTGAATCTGGGTCCTCGGCGTGTTCAACCGGTTCAGACATGTTCTGTTGGGTCTCCAAACCCCCTCCTTCGAGAACCCTCCATGATTTCTGTTGAAATCCGCATGCAGCCCCAGATTTTCTTAAGCGCCCGCCTGCCATTTTGAGAAACCCTATGTAAGCCCTGTATGCCCAATGTATCCTTAGAGTTAGGTAAAGGTTTAGGTATCCCTGATGATCCCTGCAATCGATTGAAAAGTGACCCCTACTTGAAGAGCACCCCAAGTTTCGTCGCGAACCTACAAACTACTACAGTGAGGGAATGGACCCCCTAAGTCCTGAAAACTCCCGTATAGTAGTCACCACAACCTATTCGCTACTCACCTGTACTAAGCACTTGGGAGTCGAGAACCAGCCGCCGCGAAGGTGGCCATCGGATTTTGCCGTGGCGCAGCAAAGCAGGTGCCTGATGTGATCCATGCACTGATCACCAGCAGGCAAGTGGAAACTACCCAGAAGTTTACACAGGAGGTGCTGCAGGGAGCACTGCTGCGCCATGCCACGCTGCTTTGCCAATCTCTTCTTGATGCCAGGTGTGACGTGTCGAATCAAGGCTGGATTCCAGCAGACGACAACAACAGCAGTCATGGGATGGTAACTTTGTATTGTTTTGTACTACGCTTACAGTATTGGTTGAGAATCATAGGGTTTCAATGGTATCCGAGTTCAATCTATTGTGCAAGATGGAAGGCTTACGTAAACAGACCCCGTGCGTTTCCTGCACACGTACGAAGACACCCGAAAGTGATGGACCACAAGCTGGAAGGCACTCGGAGCCTGCTCAATGCCGACACGATCGAGGCGGCATGGAGCTCGCAGGGATAGTTTTCAAACCCGGCCTTGGGATTTATAGGCATCCATCTAGTCTAAGCCAGCATGACGCTGCCCCTCAAAAGGGACCCTAAACTTTAATCAACGAAGTTATGAGAAGTTCCTAACTGAAGTTCCGTGAACAAAAAAGGACCACTTCCGGGCTGAGAGCGCTGCGGGCAGCTACGACTTTGAGGCAAACCCCAGGGCCTTGCGCTTCTTCCATTCGGATCCCCTGAGTTTCACAACAGAGCTTAGGGAATAAGAAAGTTACAGCCGGTATATAGTATCCCCTAACTGGTCTCTGATAATAGCTTTACATGGTTTTTACAGTGCTTAGATCTCCCAAGTATTCTTAATAATGGCCTCGACCTCCCCAACACAAAATCATGGAAATTTCCAGCATGGATGTCTTCAAAGAAGATCTTTCACCCGACCTGGCCAAGGGGCTGCCCGAATGGAGAGTGGAGGACTGCGGGAACCTAGATTTGGGGCGGGGGCGCGGTCTACGGGTATTACTATGCAAACTACGACGACAATAACGGCGACAACGACGACGACGACGACGACGACGACTACTACTACTACTACTACTACTACTACTTCTACTTCTACCACTACCCATTGCGACTACTACTAATTAAGACTACTACTTGTTGCTCTTCTTCTGCTGCTGCTGTTGGGACCAGGTGCCAAGGGCCATTACCATTTGTGTGCTGCAGTGCTGTCCATTCTGTGACTATGCTTTAAAATCTTTATCGTCAAGTATTACAACTATGCTACTATGACTACGATGACTATCTGGGGGTTGCAGAAGCCTAAGCGCAATGTGCGTAGGGCATAGGGGTTGGCATCCTTCTCAAGAACAATAACCATAAGCGAAGCAATCATATTAACAAACAAGAATGGGGTCAACGCTGCGTGGAGTGGATGCATGGGACTGGAGGTGAGCAAGCACAACTCGCTGGGCGTCAGTAGCAAAAGGATAGATCCCCATATCCCTGTAGAATTCTTCAGATTTTTCCCCTTGTTTCACATCAATTCCATCCGACTCAAGTTGATTGCCAGAGTGACTGGCAGGACGGCACCTCAGGCCGAAGTCCGCGGCTCTGCCAGGGAGCACCATGGCCTGGTGGCCCCTCCTTAGCAGAGGCTCTGTGGCATTCTGCAGCTCTGGGTTGGGTCTGAGGCGTAAAGATAAAAGGGCTTGGCAGTACAGATTTCAGGGGTTCGGGCTCGAAGATTTTCTTCTTGATGTTTGGATCATGACCCTTGAAGTCCAAGACATCACCTCTTGAGTCGGCCAGGTGTCAGGCTTCCTGCTTGCCGAAACCGAGCGCGGGCACTTGCAGGTTGTGGAGGTTCGCAGCTGCAGAGAAGAACTTCCAGCGCAAAACAAGTTCACCAAAGTGCCAGTCATTTGACAGCGAAAGAGCTGCGAAGCCGGGAAGCGAGCACTGCGAACTGCCCACCTTGGCTGCCCACCGTGGCTTTGGAGGCAGATGGCCGCGAGGAGGGCGCCGACGTGGCAGCGCGCCTCGCGAAGCTCACCGCGGCCGCAGGCCCCGGTGAGAAAACGACAAAAAGAGAGAAGTAGGTGCTTTGATTCTCTTTTCTTGGGGTGCTGGCCCACTTCTCTTTTTTTAGGTGACAGGTCAGAGACTTGTGCTCGTGGGGAGCGGATGTGTACAATCGTCCCGTACACTATTTGTCCACTCTCCCTAGAAGTGCTGTTCGTGCAGGTGTGCAGGCCATCCCTATTCTTGGGGACTTGTCCTGGGCAGGCTCCAGCACCGGTGACAGCACCTAATTTGCCTCGCTTTTCATGGTACTCAGCAGGGAATGGGGGAATGGATTACAGGGATCAGAATTGGACTCATCTTTCAATCCCTTGCTTGCACCAGGTAAACGTGTGCAGGTTTGGTGGCGTGTCCCAGGCATGCGTCAGCAGAGCATTCTCTGAGGCATTGCAAAGTTCTCCTTTGAGCGGAAGGCCCTTGCTGAAAAAGGCCTGTGTGCAGACACTTGACTGTGCCGCTGTGCCTCAGATTCTGCGGAGAAATAGCTCTGCAGGCTGGCCCGAACTCACTGGCTGCCCCCAGGTGGGTTGCATGCCTCCGGGCCAGGGTGTAGATGGAGCACGCGGTCAGAAAAGCATTGTGACCCAGAACAACACTACTGATAATGAACATTATCAACAGCATTGATCAATACTAACAGCGGCAGAATAGCACACAATCTGTATGAGCATGCTGCTTAAAGATGCTTAAAGAATACGGCCGCATGTTCCGAAGCCTTACCTTTCTTAGCTTCTCGTCTGAGCAGGTGTGGCAGGTGAATAGCGCTTCGTCCGTGTTCACCAACCACATTGCCACTAGACAGCAAGTGGGGTTCAATGTACAGGATGTAGGGGTCATTGGATGTCCAGGGTCGAGCTTGGTACATGGCATGAACAAGTCAATGCTCAGATCACAGTGGGTCGCGGCACTCGGGCGACGATCTCTGGAGACGACCATGCTACCCGCCTGAACCGATGTTATAGAGGAAATGGAATGGAGCAGGGCAAGTCGTGCATCTTTGCCGTAAAGCCCTCTGCAGCAAGTGCAGATAAGCCCTGCATGGGACAGTCTGCCAGGAGATCCACTGCATCCACCGTGATTGGGAGAACGGCCTTTTAGACTCTATGCTCCTTGGGGCCGTGGGCCGCAAGGACAACTTCTAGAGAAGCAGGCGTTGACAGGGAGTCTTGAAAACTGCTTTGCTTCATGTCCGTCAGGAGGTTATCCTACTGGCTCCAGATGCTCCTTGGCAAAAGTTTTGAGTTAGGGCAGAACATATGCTGAGTCAGCCAGCTACAGGAGCTGGGCACAGATCCTCGGATGCCTTGGAAATCAAATCCGAACTGCGATCGTGCGTCAGACCTCCGAGGCGGGACCAGGGTTGGCAGAGCGCTGGGATGATTCAGGCCTCTATATCCTTTGCAAGACTCTCATAATCCGCTTGTAATCTATGAATGTCCCCAGCGCTGCCAAGGGACCCTCTTATGTTCCAAGCACAAGCTCCAGAATTCAATATATCCTACATACCACTCTACATGCAGCCTTAAGTCCCTTAAGTCCCAGGTCGCGAAGGCGAGGACTTCTGGTCAGCCCTTCGGCAGCTGGCGCAGCGGGAGGACGTGCGCGGTGGCCGGGTGGAGCTGGGCCCAGGCTTGGGGATGAAAACAATCATCTTAGTATAAGAACAGTCATACAAGAGTAGTAGCTGGTAATTTGACTCGTGCTGGTGATTGTAGTCAGAATGCTCTCTTAGCAGGGGATGCGCTGTTCATCCCCCACGGCTGGTGGCATGCGGTGCGACCACTGGATCCTTTCACCGTGATTACAGGCCGGTGCTGGTGGCAAAACGTTTTGGCACCAACTGAAGCAAGTAAACCATGCTTATCTTGGAGTCCCAGTCCCATCCGCTGCAGGCCTGGCAAAACGACCAGACGCTTGAGAAAAAAAGGAGCAAGACTTGTTTCACAGGGGCCAGGCAGTCATGGGCTGTGGAATGCTATGGAGCAGTCACTGAATGAGGCTTGATGAGCTTGCTGGTGGCTCTAACATGACACTCCGCGTTCATTGATGCAAGGGGTATAGAGGAGTAGATCCACATCCTGGATAAGCTCTCCATGGCCTTCTGAGGCACATAAAAAGACCTAAACGAAAACAAACCTCATGTATGCAAAATGCAGCAGAAGAACTGGGCCATAGATGAACATCGGGACTGACGTAATTACCTGTCTTATTTTGTCTGTGTGCTCGGAATAAGAGCAGCTGAAAAATAAGTTCCCTGCAAAGGTGCAGAGGTGTCGGTTACGGACTCCAACGCCGCGTCCGCCATCGAGTCTGCTTCAGTGGAGGAGGTGCAGTGCCCCAGTTCACGCCCTTTCATACACGCCGTGGACCCCGCGTAGGCCTTCCTAGACCCATAGCCCTCGGAGGCTGCAGATCTCATCGCTGCTTGGACTTCTGATGCGTCTCGGTCGATGGCCACTCTCCGTGCCCTGGGCAGACCCGAACTCGTGGTGCCTCTGCTGCTTTTGGGGGGATCTAGCATTTTCTTACCCCAATTACCTACAGTCTATCAGGAAGAATCCATAGAACTAGTAATTCAGGTTGCATGGCAGGTTGTTGAGTCCTGGTCTGCCCGCTCAGCAGGTGACGAGCCTAGAGTCCATCTCTACCGAGCGGGAGCCTGATGGGCGCAGTCAGAAGATCTTCGCTTCATCAATGGCTCATCACGCTTGAAGCAGACAAAAGAAAGGATGACCGTGTCTCTGTTTCAGGTTTCCGCGTGCCGACGCCCTGGCACAGGCCAGTTTGAATCTAGTTTAAGATTCGCACGCTGGTCGTTGCTATGACTTGAAGTTTGAAGCCTCGGGCAGCCTGCGACCACGGCCTGATTTCGTGTCATCAGCCCATAGTCCGCAGTCTTTCGTGCTCCTCAAGCTCCAATTCAAGGCGTTTCACAACATAGTTTGTATTCTGCCGAGTAGTTCATTGGGCTTGCAAATGCTGTCCAAATTTTACGAGTCCCGTGTATCGCTTCCAAGCCCTACTGTGACCCAGAACCGGCCAATTGCTGTCTGAATTGGCAATTAGTTCAAACCTTTTATATGTACAACCCCAACATATTATAGTTATGGGTGGTGGCACCTCCAAAAAGGGTCTCCTTTTTCTTTGGAAACCCCCATGTAACCTCAGGGCGTAGCGCTGGACGCGGCGCCCGTCATGCGCCAGCTCTACGCAGAGCTGACTGAGGCGGAGCTCCATGGATGCGTTTCTTAGGGCAGCCAAATTGAAGACACCCTCTGAGAATCCCAGGATTCCCTTCTTGCCTGAAGTCGCTAGGAATCCTAAGATTCAAACTGCCAGGCTGCCGCGGAGGCTGTTTACAGCCTGAGCGCAGCGGACTTCTCTGCAGATGCAAGGCTAAGGCTCGCGCGAGCCAATCTACCCATCAGTTTAGGGTCGAAGGCTATCACTGCTTGGGACTCAGAATGCACTCGAAATTGCAGCAGTTTTAAACGAGTCAGGAATCATACCAACAGCACAGACACAGAAAGCAGTAGAAACCTTGTCCAAGCTGGACTACAAATTTCACGTCTTCTGAGACACAGTGACAGAGCAGCTTCGCTTGATATGCTTGATGCACCACAAGCTCAGCCCCGAAAGATCTAATATTACAATCAGTGTGCGAAAAATGTGCCGCTACATGATACTTTCTGAAATCTCCTTGGGGGAGTCGTACATGGAGAGCTTTCTCATGCAAGGGTCTTTGGGCACAGCACCAGATGCCGTGAGTTTGCGCTGTCTCGCCATGGCCAGCGAAGCCCCGGCGAATGCGCAAGGCCAGGCTGAAATCTGAACCAAAGCAAGGGAAAGAAGCGTGATCACCGACTGCACCAACTTGCCATTTCTTGCGCTTCGCTGTGTTCTAGAATCATTTCCAGCTGGAAGAGGCGACTGGCGCAGCTTCGTCCCCGCTGGACCTAGACATGAGGCGATGGGCCTTCTGCTGAAAGTCTGGCAGGGTGAAGTAAGAGTACTCCCCGCTATAGGGATCATTTCCATATTCTCTACATGCGCCGGATATAATTCTGCATAGGTTCAGGTAGCGGCAGCTTCTAAAGACAATTTAGGAGCAGCAGGCGCCCCCAAGATTGCTGCAGCCAAAAGCAAGCATCGTCATGCCAATCACAGTGGATAGGTGGACTGCTTCTAAGCTACCAGGAGGCTGCCCACCTGCTGTTAACACAGCAATTTTTAGATATCAAAAATCCCTGACTGAGAAGAGGTCCTCCGCACAGCTTTTTGCTTGCAGTCTGGCTGCGATGTGTCTTTACCTCCAAGCTGCGCAGGTCATCGCCCCACACGAGCTGGCAGCGGATGCCGCGCTGGTCGATGTTTCGGTAGGCCCTTCTCCCTGCCCCGCTCTGCGGCTTAGCATGCATTCAGCTCGTGGAGTGCGCAGTGCGCTGTCGATTGCTTACATGAGTCATGAGCCTGATTCCTTGCTAAAGTAGGAGCATTTTTTCTGTTTTGTCAATTCCAGAATGGCTATCCATGTTCTGTCCCATGTATCTACTTCTTCTACCGTCCTTACTTATCTTTGTCGCCCTAGACGCTGAGCGATTGTTTGGGCCCCAACGCCTCCATGTGCCCTAGACCGCGATGAACTAAACCTAAAGCCCTAAAGTTCCCTAAAGCCCAAACAAATCCTAAACTCCCAAAAAACCCTGCAGGTGGCAACCTTTCCTGGAGCGGCCAGTCGGGGCTCGAGGTGCAGAGCGTCGATATGCTCCACGGCCTCTCGGACATCCCGAAGAGCCACAGGGGTCAGGTTTACTTGAACCTCCTAAGTCCTTGCAAAATGGTTTCTGATCCCAAAATGGTGCATATGTGGGCCATGATTTTGGATATTGTGGAGGTTGAGGTAGAGCTGAAGGGGAAACACCTTCAGTTACAGAGGGAATACCACCTCATCCCCAACTTCCCGTACTGAATTATGATCAATAAACATCTGCTCTTCAGTTTTTTTTGGATTGGAAATTAGTTTCGAGCTCATTTGCTGTCTGCTTTTGCTACACCTTCCTGAAGCCACCCCTTACCAGGACTTCTTGGCAAGTGTTCACGAGCCTGCAACTTCCCTGGTGCAGAGCAAGCACTCAGGGGCTGAACTACACAGGTTGTTTTGCAACCTTCCCTCCCTGCTAAGCATGAAGCTGATCTTCACTTATCAGTTGACCCCTCTTGCACAGGTGGCTGTCCTCGCAGAGGAGGCAGTTTGATCGCAGAGATGTGGGGCAACTTGGTAGCAAGTCTGCTTACTAGTGAGGAGCCGTAAACAGGTTGGTTCCTGAGACGCCAATTCCATATTGGACCTGTAACATTGCCCACAGGCATGGCGTGGGCATCTGGCAGTCAACCTTCCATGGGGAAACTTGGGCTGCACATGTCACGTGACATTGCAAGGAGCGTATCAGCCTGCCAACGGGAAGGATGCATCCCGATGCCGCGACCTCTCAGGACATTGCGCACATCTTCCAACAAGGACGGCGAGTGCGTTGTGTGCCAAACGAGCTGCGAGAGGCCGGTGGGCCAGACCCGTTCAAGATTTGGAGCCACAAACGAGTGATATGTTAGCCTGGAAATGTTATTCTCACCAGTTGCAGTTTGCAAGGTCTTTGCGGTATAACGCAGGAAGGCAACAACCTGCCTCCCACATTACCATCTCAGTCCTGTATTGAAGTGAATGCGTTGACAAGTCAAAAAATCCTGTGGCTTCTGTGCACAGAGAAGAAAGCTGTCTGACAATCAACGTTCGGTGCTGCACTGTACCAACCACAGCGATGTCTGCGAACAGCACACCAATTGTCAGCAGTGAGACGTGCAAGGATGTTTCATTGCCGCGGCTTGCCGTGACTTCTTGGAGACAGGAGGTCAACATCAGTCTCCCATGACGTTTATTGCAGCAGTGCTTTGCTTTGCCAATTCCACTTCTGATTGCTGATGTTGTGCGGCTGTGGGCAACATGTTTTGATGACCGTGGAAGGTTTAGGCCGAATCCTTCTATATCTTGGATCTGACATAAGTAGGAAAGCAAAAGCTACATTTGGGGCGCTTAGAACCTTGCTTCCAACTTCCCATGAACCTCTATAAGCAATGTAAAAGCTTGAAGAATTGCCAACATAATTCGTTGGTAGTCCTCATATAACTTTAGTAACATATACCTCGAAGTTGTATTCTTTGAATGGACCTTTGCACTAGCACTTGGCAGGAGGCTCCGGCTGAATGTGCCATCTGCCTGGTGCCGTTAGAAACTTGCCAAGCAGCCTGTTCGTCCCCGCCGGGTGTTTGGGGGTCCTTCTGCCTGCGTTTTGGAGAAAATTGGGTTTGGGGTGGGTTTGGGGTTCCTCAAAGTTCTTTGCATCTTTTTGTGTCGAGGGCGATTGGTCCTACAAATAGCCAGAGTGTTTATTTGGGGATCTATGAGGAAAGCCTTATTTTGGGAAGAAGTAGCATCGTGCAACCACACCCCCGAAAGATGATTGCGTTTCTCAGCCCAGTCTCCATCCTTAGCAACATGATGATGTTATTACATCATTTCTGGAAATCTAGCTGCATACTTGGATTCCCAAGAAAATGGGGCTGCACTTGCTCAGGAATCCGGGGTCTTGGTGTCCTCGCTCCCCTGCCGCCACTGCCTCAGAAATAGGTAATGCCCTCATACAATGGTATAGGGGGCTACGTTTTAAAGCAAGAATTCTGGGCAGTGACCAAAACAAGCACAAGTCATTCCCGCTAATTTACGCGGGGGGGGGAGGGTGGGGGGGGCTACTTTTGAAGAATGCCTAGATCATGGGAGTGATTTTTGAAACCTGCCCTGGCAGCCAGAAGACGAGGTCACGTTTTCCACTTCGAGTGCATCGAAAGGCTTGATGGTGCTCGAGGGGGAGTGGATCCCTGTCCTAAACCCTGTATAATCCCCGGAAAAGAATATTCCAGTATGTTCCTATATTTCCTCCTCGGTTGCTAGCCCGATACTTTGTTCTCTACATCTACCTTTTCGCTCTGTCTGTTAGAGGTAATTACCATTACCATTCTAGTTTCCATTCATATTCCTTTTCGTAGTTTTTACCTGTTAGTAGCTCCAATGCGATTATGATGAGTGCCAGGTGGATGCTTCAAGCCGCTCGCGTGAATCGGGCCATTTGCTGTCCGCTTTGCCGATCTCAGGTTCCCGAGGGTGCCGAGGGCCTTTGACAATGATGCCCTGGTGCTTAGTAGGGATAGGGGGAAGGGAAAGGAGCATGGAGTCTACTATAGTTGTTAGGATTGAGGCATTTTCTGCGGATGACATGAGAGGGACCACTGTAGGGATCCATGCCCCCGTTCCGTACTAAGCGCCAGATGAAATGAACGAACGCCGGCTCTGCAAACCATAAAGCTGTCTTCTGACAACAAAGGCTCCCGGACATCTCATGTCCTGCAGCATCTCGCAGTCTTCAGAGAGGGTCATAAGCACATACGCCAAGCGATCACAACTCCAAAGGCATCATGTTGAAGCCTGGATAGTTTCGTACATCCCTGTAACTATACCACAAGTACCACAAGGGCTTACTCTCATCATTCAGGCCTCTACAGTCACCAGCTGGGACTTCTTGGCAGAGAGCCTCATTCCGTCGTGGGAGATGCTATGTCCAGGAAGCTGCAGTTCCAGATAGAGCAGAGCATCCCACGCGCCAAAATGGCACCAATCTGGCAAATTGCGATGCTTTCAAAAGAAAGGGCGCAAGTCACCGCGCGTACTGAGATAGAGGTAAGTTATGGTAAGTCCTTCTTGCCATTTTCTTGCTGCTTTGTTCCTACGTCTGCTGTGATTCAGATAGGCGCCTGTCGAGCGGCTCCACTTTGCTGGCAACTGCGATGGACGCTGTGTCCGGGGCCCGTCATTTCCCAGATTGCCTTGTCAACGTAGCTGCGGAGACTTTGCGAGGCTGCGATGTATGTCAGCTCTGCACCCTCTGCTGACGCTGCACTTGGCCTCAGTCAAGTCTCGCAAGTGTATTCTTACTACACTAGCCTCGCACTTGTTTTAAGGACAGAGCTCTGGTACACTCTGGGTGTTCTGGATTCGGTGGTGGTTTGCATCTCAGAGCGGAATGGTAGCCTTAAACCGCGCGTGACGTATTCTTCACCAGTCTTGGAGTGCAGGATCGCAATGCGCAGCTTCGAGGTCTTCTAGGCGACAAATGCTACAAGCGCTAGAAGTATCCAAGTATCTGTTTCTTTAAGTCTACCCATGGCATCCATGTGCCAGGCCCAGGCCCTGGTGGGAAGTCCTTGGCTGCTGCTCCGCTGCTGGCCCTCTCAGACCTGGCACCTGCCGGGCTGCTTGATCGGTTTGGGGTTCGACGTGTTAGGGCTAGGCCCCTAGGCACCCTAAAGACTTTTCCTCCTGCGTAGCCGTGAGTTCTACGTAAAGGAGTCGCTTCCTGACAGATGGTTGCCATCATCGTGTTGCACCGTGCTTGCATGCTTGAGCAAACCGCGTTAACTGCTCCGAGCTCTGAACCCGCAGACCTTGGTGACGGCTTACTACATTGCCAACGGAACGATATCTGTCACGCGCTCAAGAGTGCATAGTAAAGAGGACCCAGGTGTAAAGAGAATCACTGCAGGAGGCCGCGGATGAGTGGAAGAAAGTGGAAGGGAAGCAGCTTCGCATTGCGCTGGGGAAAACTCCCTAAGTCCCTAAGTCCGAGATCTCAGGCCATCACTCGCAGCAACAGCACTGCCCTGGTCGATCGTGTCATGTCGGCCACAATCAGCCTTGGCTGCAGCCCCAAGCAGCAGGTGTATGTAGGAACTTAGGGTTGAGGGCACAGGATCTTGTACTTGCACTTTTCCCAGACAAGGCGGCATAAGCTTACTCAACAACGGGACTCTGCGATTTGAGAGGGGTTCTGCATACATTTGTTACACTCTCAGGCCTGAAGTCTTTTGAAGAATGCTCAACTGAGGAAGTGCAGCTGCAGCCACTGTGCCGCTGGGCACGGCCCCTCCGGAAGAGGTCGGGCGCCTCTAACAGGTGCTATAATGAATAGAATGAGGGAAAGGATGCCAACAGTGGGCCCCGGATCTGCAAGCAGGGCCATACAAGTCACCAACAGAATTACTATAACCCTGTCTCCCCGCGTATAGCCTCTGAGGCACCAGACACCTGTGCCAACCCTTTACAGGCTTGAGCTTGTTGGCCTTGGAACATGAATGGCGCTACTTCAAGGGACGTACAAAAAGACAGAAGTTCGACGTTATTTGTGGGTATTCTACAGGGTGTTTCAGAGATGTGTAAAAATCATACATATATACTGCAAAAGGAACTCTTCAACTATCTTAGGTATGAGGCTGATCTTTTTCATTCACTACCCATCACTGCAACAGGTAAAAGGCACAACAGTTGGCATGTTCGTTTTATCAAAAGCGTATCGTAGTTGCCCGGCAGTTCCCATGCTTACTTATGTCAGGGACCCCCAAGAAAAAAACCCTGAATGCGGAAACCATTAATGTGAACCCCGGCCAGGTAATCAATCCGGGGCGTGGGCTCATCCTGAGCACCAAGAGCTACCGCACCACTGCCTTGCAACTGCTGGGGGCTCTGTTCCAGACATCCAGAGAGTGTGGAATTATGAGTTATCCACATTTCGGTTTTTCAGCTCCTTCCTAGTGTATACAAGCCCTTCGCAAAGGAGTGTCTACTTCTCGGTTCCTTCCGGAGGTCTGGGTTTTTGACGGAGTAGTCACGCCAGCTGACTCTGATAACGTGATTTGAGATGAGGACCGGCCTCTCTCTGGACCTGACAACCCAGCTCATCGTGGACCAGCCCTACCCAGGCCTGGTTGCTTATTTGATAGGTTCCTGAACCACCCCTTGTACTGACGCCTCGTAAGGTCTCCCGGATAGGTGCACTTTGATTCGAGTTGCCTGGATACTGGTAGGTGGTTCAGGCACACTGCATGCTCCTCAGTTTACAAGCTGAATTTGACTTTCAGGTCTGCAGATTCCACCAGTCGGGTCCCGCCTCGCAGAGCTGCGCGAGAACGCGCGGCTGCAAAGGTTCTGCGCCTTTGGGCGCTCAGGTTCTGTCGTATTGATCCTGGATGTCACGCTTAGCCATGGTTGTCTGAAGATGTTTGAATCGTTTCGTGTACAGGGATGTCTCGATTGATTGCAGTTGGTGTTCTCCGAACAGTCCTTATCCTTGTGAGTTTGACCGCAAGCTCGCAACATCTCGCTGTCTGGCCCAGGTCACCTCGCAAGGGGGTCCGCCGCTTTGTTTAGGCCTTGTCCCAAGAAGCAACTTCACAACCTCTAAGCCTCCCCCGTGCTGCTCTGAGTTCCGTAATGAAAGGCGCAGCCGAAGCCGAAGCGGCAAGCAACCAAGCAACTGGAGGTCAAGCTAAGACTCGCTAGGCTCTTCCAACTTCCTCTTCGATCGTCTTGAGCTGGTGGTCGTGCCAGACCCCTAGAAAACTTTGCAGGCAGCTTACACTGGTAGAAATCAGTTTTTAAAACGAGCAGCTTCCCAGGCAGTGGGGCTTCAACGTCATTGCCGTGGGCGAGCGCTTGGGCTCCGGTGCCCCAAGTGGTGCCGAGGGTGTTGGGGCCTCAGCAGCAGTCCGACCATGAGGCAACTGTAGGATCCCCCAAGAACTGGGTCATTGGTGTATGTAGTCTCTCTTTTTGAAAAGAACTATTGTTCTATAAAATAATGCTCAATAAGAAATGTTCGTTTTGGTCTACTAACACCCTGCACAGTAACCAGAGACAGCCTCAAACAAGACCTCAAGCTCAGGTCCTGATATCCGTCCGCGATATTCGCGCCAACCTGAGTCTCAAGTACCGATTGCATCCCATTGCTCACTACAGCAGCTGTTTAAGCGCAGCTTCCAGTACGTAGAGAAAGCTGTGTGCTCATTACGCCTGTCGTGCAAGCAGATCGCGTTGAAATCACCAGACAGCATCCTATCCATTGTGACCTGGACTTCTGTAGATCTTGTGTTGAAACCTAAGCTTCAAACCACAATTCGCAGTTCAATCTAACACCTGTTACTTGAGTATTGTCTGGAAAAATCCGTAGCCGGAAGGATTGCAGAGCTGCGGCGTGCCAATTCCAGTGACGGAAGCTGCCATCGATGGTGCAGAGGCCATGAGTTGAAAAACAGAAGTTTCCCTAAGCCCTGCGATTAGGAGCCTTTACAGCGAGGATAACGTTAAGCGTCCTAGAAACTCTTAAAAGAGAATTGTGGAGCTATCGAATCTATCGCACTTCAGGTGGAGATGCTGGTGGAATTGCCGGAGCCGGTGATTGAAGAGCGGCGATGGGGTTATAACCTCAACTTACTACAAAATGCTACAACGTGATAGTCGATTTTGCTGCTTCCGCACGGTGTGCTCTGAGGTTATGGAGATGTAACACCCTTCCGCTGTGTGCGTCTGGGCCTAGTCAGGGAGGTGACTGAATTCATCAGAAGTTCCTGATCCATTCTCTCATTCCCTGCTCAGCACAGAGTAGCGAAGACATGAGCTTTGGCAATGTGGAGCCCCTTCGCCTGCCTGAAAACGCAAGCAGTGCCAGCCAAACATCCGCTTACTTGCGCGGAATCTATGTGGGGGTTTCAGTTCGCCACGCTCACCCATTAAAAATCAGGTTCTATTTAAACGAAGGGTAAATAGGGGCACCCTAAGCTTCGAAATGTCCGCATACAAACGGCATCAGTAACGGCCACAAAGGCTTGGGAAGACTACCTGGGAACGAGAGATGGGTCCGAATTATGATATCATCCCTTAATAAGCGATTCCCATTACCCCTTACCAAGCACCAGGGAGAAAATCTGTAGGCCGTCATGTCTCAAGCAAGCAACATCGGCACTTGATGTCATGAGCTAGCTCCATGATCGGAATTTCCGTGGCGCTGCTCTCTGGCCGCTCCGTTCACCTGCAGATCGAGGTCGCTGTGAAGTCCATAATGCTCTTTTCTTGCTTGTTTTGTTGCTGTCACCGGCGGCCTTGCAGTGAAACCCTCAGAGCAGCTGGGCTAATCCGCAACTGCGTTTTAAAAGTTTGCAGGCCGAAGCCTCAGTCGGGGCGCTGGTGCAACGCGCAGAGAACGAGCTTCAGGCACCTGTCTGCTCAAGATGTTCTTGAAGGAGAGTTGAGGAATGGATCGCTGAAATCGTCCCTATACAATCACCTAGAAAAATGGTCCTGATCTTCACGCCAGCAAGTATTTGATGGCTGCCAAGCCAAAATTGCGAAAATGGCATGACTGCTGAGGCAACAAACTTGGAAGGGTGTGACGTATATTGCAAACCTGGGAGTCAATGAAAGGTGTCAAAGGGCTCTTGCAAATGTCGCTAAGCTGCTGAGACTTCAAAGAGCTTTGCAGGGATAGGGAACCGAAGTAGAAACGAGCTTTGGAGACGTGGGGGAATCACAGTCTTATGGAGCCGGAATCTGAAAGGGGCTGACAGGATGTAAATTGTGGAGACTCGGAAGTCTGATCGTTTTTGAAAAGACGTCGTATCTGGAAAGACAGAAGATTGCAGGTCTTGGAGGCATGGACTTTGAAAGACTCCAGTAGGCATGTGACAACGCGGCTGGGTTAGCTGCTGCAGCGTTGCAGATGCAGAACACGAATTGACCCCCCCGTGTCCCAACCTTAGCGAACGTACAAGATGCTTAGTCGAAGAACAATTGTGTCGTTGCGCACGCAGCATCTTAATATCACACTTGCTACTCCAAGTCTTCTAGGGCTTCAGCAAATGTTGCATCACGAATGCGAGAATTCGAGATTTGGTTTGTTCAGGGAGGAAGGGGTCGATCAAGTTCTGAGTCATTGCCAGCTAAACATACGCACGCAAAGAAATCTGTGAACACCAGCGAAAAATGGCAAATCCATGCGAATCCGTCTAATGCAACTTGCTTTTGTCATGCAAGGGTCCGCACATCCATTTAGTCGAGAAGCACCGAAGGGTTTTCACAAGAATCTCCAGCGTTGTTCTCTCTGCGCCTGTCTTGCCATTCCGTGCTCCTTGGAGGGAACCAGGGAAGTCGTAGTGCCCGGGAACAATCTCTCGTGATAACCAGATTTGCCAGGCAGACTTGCGCGCTTTGGTGCTTTGGCAGCAACCGAGAATTGGGTGGGGGGTTTAGGGCTTAGCCGTAGCCTACATGTCCAGGGGATAACTGTTAATCCAAACGGGTACTGTGTTCAATTCATTTGTACGGTGGTTGCCTCACGAAATAACCTGACAGCAGCTCACGCACGAAGACGCGCTCTAACCTTTTAGGGTAATATAACTCCAATATAAGTTAACCCTATAGACCTAGATACTGGACACCTAGAGGGTGTGGGGGAGGAAAGATCGTTCAGGCAGGATCCAAGCTTCGTGAGGCCACGCCCTGCGGCCGCATTCTCCCGCGCAGCCGCCGACTTCGTGAAGCGGGCGTTCAAGACGCTTCGGAAGCACTGCTTTGCTGGGTAGTGCGCGGCTTCTCTTTGTTGGCTGTGCTTCCAGTTTCGAGCTGAGCATGGCTTGCTGTTGCTCCACAGCAAAGGATGGAGACACCCTCAGCGCGGTCTTGGGCCGAAGGATGCTGGTGGCTTCTTTTGGTGCCTTCGCGCTTCTGGGTGCCGACGGCCGAGCGACCTGCAGCATTGGAGCGCCATGCGGAAGTTTCTGTTCTGCCTAGGAGGACGCATAAGCAAGTTTCCCAGGTGGTCTCATGGGGACACCCTCTCTATGGTGGGGACAGCAGCTTTGTGAACGACGAGCTCACAGACGTGGAAAGCCGCATCCTTCATGCAGTCAAGTTACGGTGCATTGGAGCGCCTAACAAACATTTACTCGTGCGTGAGGGCAAGCACAACAGGTTGCGTGACTGTCTAGGGGGCTCCTGCCCGTCAATGCCTCTGACAATCTACTTGGTGCTCATCAGGAAGTGAATGAAGGGATCCGTATGGTAGTCCAGACATAGTTGCTCATCTTCTTCTGCATAACCCATTCCCAGTTCCCTACTAGCCACCCAAGACCAGAAACTCTAAACCGCAAGACATGTCATAGCTTCCACTGTTTCCATTCCGTACTAAGGCCCCGGGAACCATTACATGTCTGGCAACTGCGCAGGTCTCTGGGCTACACGTCATGCTTTTGCCGCTCAAAGGTGTGATGGGAGCGTGGCCTTCCGGCAGCATGACGCGTGCTGCAGAAGCCTGAACTAGTGCCAATGCTATCCCCTTACAGCCCTTGTGGAGCTCTAGGACATACTCCCAAACCCTGTTCGAATCTTCTAGAGACCTGCATTCCTGCAGAATCCGGAAAGCCCTCTGCAGCACTTAGCTTAAAGCACCTGAAGTCGCGCTGTGGGTGCAGAGGGTTCCCAGGGCTTTGCATCCTTTCACATGACATGGGACGTTCGCAAAATTCCGCTTCAAATCCCTAATGTCTAGGGACCTCCTCAATCCTGTTATAATCCCCACAAATTTCTATGGGGTTTCTTAGATTTGCCACTGTTTCTTCGAAACTACTGCATGAGGTCACGTGGGGCCACTCCAAGCTTGGCGGTGACTGTTCCGACGTGAAAGACCAGCTGAGAGACGTAAAGCAGGCCCTCACTCTTGCACGATCGGACGTATTGCTTAGGAGGGAAGGGGGTCAATGCTAAATGGGCTGGGTTTTAAAGTTAAGGGTGCTTACCGGGGAATGAGGGAAAGGCTTGTAGGGATACTGATGGGGATCCACCCCCGCTCTCCCTGTTGCACCCGCAAGATGAGAGCTCTCCTTGGAGTCTGCTGAAGTCCTATCACCTGCACAGATCCGGAGCTATGCTTACACCTTTGCTGCAGAGCGTGGCGATGGAGAGCTGGTTGTGTGGGGCAGCAGCTTCTGCACAGGGGGCCCGATCCGGCAGCAGCTAGGCTTTGACTGCAGCATGCGGTTTTCCATCCTGTTTTTGGCCATTCCCTCGTGAAAAGCAGCTTCTCCAGCTGTGAGGCAACTCAAAGAAGTGCAGCAGGTTGAGGTCTCCTGCAATGCAGTGGCTGCGCGGCTGTTAGATGGCAGCATCGTAACGTGGGGCCATGAGGACGCCTCTGCAAGCATTGGGACGAGGACTAAGAAGCACACATCAAGTTGTCTTAGGCTTTGTTCTCAGGATTTCGGCGGTGACAGCCGGGCCGTTCAGTCGCAGCTGGTTGGAATCATCCAGCTTCGAGCTACTTGTGGTGCTTTTGCGGCATTGCGCTTCGACGGCAATGTCGTGGCTTGGGGTGATGCAGCCTGCGGCGGTGCCTCGGGTGGAATTTCAGAAGTGCATGACCTAACGCAAGGCGTCAGCCCCAAGTCCGCTAGCTCAGGCGATGCCACGAAAGTCTGTGACAAGCTGAAACAGGTGCTCTGGCGGCAATTGACGACACTGACTCCAAGCGGCAGCGCATACTTGAGAGGTTTCAACAATTGGGGGCCAGTTTTTGGGAGTCTGCATAGATAATGTACTCCGATATATCCAGCCCCCTCATTATTCAAACCACCCTGCTCGAGAGCATGAATCCTTACTGGTGCTTAAGGGGAGTGGACCTTAAGCCCTATGCTAGTCTCTCATAATCCCCTGAAGTACTAATTAGCTGACTTCCCTGCCCCACTCCCATTACGCACCAGAACGCGCCGGCAAGTTCCGCGAGGTCTCACAGCTGGAAGGCTGTGGCCGCGGCTTTGCTGCTGTTTGTGGCTCTGCGGCTTAAACAAGAGACGCGAGCAAATCACTTATTGGCTAAGCTGCGGGGGAGTGGGGGAGTGAATGTACACGGGGATCCGCTCCGTAAGTTTGCCTTGAGCAATATAAGATAGGCCAGCGAGCGTGTTCTGAGTGTTGCACATCCGCAGCCACAGGAGCTGACTGAGTTTCCAGACATTTCCAGACAAGTCTCAGGCTCGGAGGGCCGCGTGGTTGCCTGGGGTGGGGACTGCAGAGTTCCCAGCGGCTTGTGCGGCGTGCGCAGCCTGGCTTCCACTCTCGGAGCCTTCGCAGCTCTCTGCGCAGATGGTCACGTCATTGTCTGGGGCGATGAAGAGGCCGGGGGCAGCTGCTCGGTACCTTTGCTTTGCGTCCAGGAGATTAAGGCCACGTCAGCAGCGTTTGCTGCTTTGTTGTCAGATAGCCGGGTCGTGGCCTGGGGGGCTCCTGGCTCCGGTGGCGACAGCAGTTGCGTTCAACAGCAGCTTTACGACGTGGACGAGGTGCAGGCTTCGTGCTACGCTTTCGTCGCTTTGCGGGCAGACGGCCACGTCATCACCTGGGGCGGGGCGAGCTATGGAGGCGACAGCGGCTCAGTCCAAGAAAAGCTTGCTAGCTCATTGTGTTCAGCGAACAAAGCTGCGGGTTTTCCGCTTCGCTGAAGGCAACTCCAGAGGAGTTGCAACCGCTACATGCTGGCTGGATGAAGTAAAGAAGCCTCATGATACTGCGTCTGAGAGCAGCCTCATAGAGGCAAGGGACGTCCAGTCAGCACAGGGGCAAAAAAAGCTCCTGCAGTCATGTGAGTTTGATACTCTGAGGCTGGCTCTCCTCGGGCATTGGACGGCCTGGGATTTGGTCTCCAGAAGGCAGCCAACCTTGCGAACCTCAAGCAGTCTGGGCAATCTGGCAAAAGAGATTATGAACCAGACAGAAGACGCTTCCTCCTGTGCTGCGGCATGCCCACGCTCCAAATTCTGAGCCCACACTCTTCTATCCTAAATCTCAACCCTACTTAACTAGACCCGTTGTGATTGCTGATGCAGGCTGCAAAAACGCTTACAGAGTCTGGACCTGAGTTCTACTGACAAGGTCTAGTATGGGATCCACCTCGAGAGCAACATGTAGAGAGCTCATGGGCAATTCATGCGATTCCGTAAGTTACAAAGGTAGGTTAGGTCGAAGGGTTGGTGTAGGGCTGTTGTAAGGTAGGCTTAGGCAAGGTAGACCTGGGGTTCAAAGGTGCTAGGTTTTGTGTCATTGGGTTTGCATACATCCTACGGAGATGATAAATGCATATATATATATATATGGTGGATCCGAGAAGTAGATGACCTGGTCATTCTGTACGTATACAGTCGTATGTCTATCCTATCCATATCTATGTACCTATATGTACAAAGATCGATCTTCATATATGTATATATATGTAAACGTAAAGAGATATGTAGATATACGTACATAAGTATATTCCATGATATATGTATGCTACGCCGCATAAGTATACGTATATATGTGTGTGAATAGATGCAAAGGGCTTGAAGATGCCTTTGCAGAGTGCAGTCAGAAGCTGTTGTGTGCGGGATGGGGGCTCGCTACGCAAAGCGAGTTGCAAGCAGGTGCTACCGAACCCCAGACATGACCCCCCATGTGGAAGGCGCTCCTTGCCGGACTCGTGGCCTATGCGCTGGCCGAGGATGAGGGCTGCTGCATGCTACAGTCCCAGCACGAGGCGTCCAAGCGTTTCAAGGTACGCAACCACCGGGGGTCTGAGCACGAGAAGCTCATCAAGGCCCACGATCACAATCAGGGTTTCTGCAAAGGACCGCCTGGCGAGCTGAACGGCGACGAGATCACGAAGAATGCGCTGAAGGGTATCAAGAGCACAGGCACTCGCCGTGCTACCTCGCTGTAGCTGGGCCAGAAGCCGGGCCAGAAGCCGTGCCCTGGGCCACTCCGGATCCTGGACACCCGCGCGGAGCAGTTCCCCAGCATAAAGACCTGCAGAGGTGCGGAGACTGCAGGATCATGACAACTTGGTGAACTTGAACAAACCCAAAGCGAACGACTGCGGCGAGAAGCCCGGAGCGAAGAATTCGATTTCAAGAAATCGCAGGACCTCGTGGACAGCTCTAGGAGCTTAGCCAACCTTCCACTCGAGCTCTATGGTAAGAACGGCCTGATCACGAACATCTGGAGCAGGACGGCAACCCTGCGATCATTAGCCTCATGACAAAGAAGGTGACCTCACTGGTGGTGTACTTGGGTGACTCTGGCGGCGTCCGCAAGATCCGCGCCTGCAAGTTTCGCGGCAGCACCGTCTGGGACCCTCACATCTACACCTTGGACGGCGAGAAGTTCGACCTCTACGAGAACGGCACCTTCACTGTGTTGCGCTACTCTGGGCAGAAGCTGGCACACTCTCAGAAGCAGAATGCCCAGGTGGACTGGCAGCTTTACTCCCACTACGGCGGACCTTTGTGGACGATGCCAGCAAGACCGCGGGCAAGGGGCAGTGGAAGGAGCTGAGCAAGGCCTTGCATTCGCTGTCCTGGATGGAGGACTAGGATTACGTCACCAGCTTCGAGTACGTCACGGAAAGGAAGGTCACGCTGCGGATGAAGGGCGAACATGGCATGAAGGATACCATCGTGCTGAACACCAGCTGCAAGCCCGGCATGGTCAACCTGAGGGTGACCATGCCCGACATGGCAGAGGGCCGGTTTGTGTCTGGCCAGGTTGAGGTGAGTGACGGCAATCGCCAGTTGAAGAAGTTTCAGAACAACCAGGCTTGGAACGAGCTGGGCGGCACCACGGATGCCGCGGAGTTCATCCAGAAGCTTGACAGCCGTCCGGGCATTCCTTCCTGCTGGCACCCTGCTCCGATGTGAACCATGCGAAGGCGGAGAAGATCTGCACGAAGCACCTCGGCAAGGAGATGCGAGACAAGCAGCTCTTTGAGGACTGCGTCGCAGACGTCTGCCGTGGCGGCGAAGACTTTGCCGTAGCGGCGGCGGAGTTGGAACTGTTAGAATCCTAAGGGTTGATTCAGTTCAGGCGTAAGAGGCGCAACTGAGACTCCGACCTTCAGGTTAATGTCGGGCTCCGGCAGCGCTGTGCCGCCTTTAATGACTGTTACTGTTAGGCTGCAGCCATGCCCTGTGGCACTCCATAGGAATCCCACGATGGCTTGGATTATTTGGAACGTGGCAGAACGTTTTACTTGCCGTAACGCCGTAGGATCACAGCTATGCGTCACTGCTCTGCACAAAACGGATGCCCCTATACGCGCTTGCTGATCTGGGTTATATAAATACCATTTGGAGGGCGGGAAAATGACTCTTGCCGAATCCGGTGAGGGACCGCCAGACCTCTTTGAGATTTGTTGTCCGTAATCTTCCCATGTAGTGAGACGCCAGATCCTTTCAGCGTACTCGAGGCGAGTGGAGACCGAGTAGTGTTGGCGGCATTGCCCCAATTTTTTGAAAGCCCAAACCTGTGGTATGCCTACAAATGTCAGGGACCCCTAGTTTAGAGAACCTGAGGCCAAGGAAGACCCTGCGGTTGGTGACAAAGCTGGCCTTGCCGAGGGCGTGCTGCGCTGCAGGCCCATGCCATATAAGCGGAACAAGTCTTAAGGGTTGCGGCTTTGGGGTTATTTGTGGGGCTGGGTACCCTTCAGACACAAGTGGAACTCCACGCAACCGCTTGTTAGGACAGCACGCTTTCCCGGGCTCTTTTCGGGGGCAAGGGGAACAGGATGTTGCCAGCATGTCCCCCTTGAAGGTCCTGGAAAGCCAAATGCCAAACAGGTATTTACTCACACTTCAGATCCCCCTTCCTCAACGCAGTATAGGCTATGTCAATATGAAATTACAAGAACCCACGACGCAGAAGCAGCTAAATGAGCAGACATCCGCGAGGTGCACCTCACTGATTCCGGGAACTTGGGCTGTGGAGATTGTGCTTAGCTCTGCATTGCCCCACTTTGCGGGGGCGTCTAAAGATTGGGGTCCATTTGAAGGGGTTGATAGGGATGCATAGCTTTCTATACGGATGCTATGGGGATTGGGGGCACCTTTTTCAGGAGTTCCCATCATAAGGATTATGGTGCATTGGGACAAGGGCCCCGAAGTTTGGGGGAAGGGCATTTCCAGGCGGCTATATGTCCCCCTTCATTCCATAACCTGCACCCAATGCACCCACAACGCTAAGTGACTTTCTTCTTTTCCACTCCCTACTACTCACCAGGTAGTCACCTGTCTGAGTTCAGACTCTCTGGTTGGTTTGTCTGGAGGTGGTTCTGAAATCTATGATTTCGGTCTTTAGCTGCCCAAGTTTGAAGTATTACCATTCTATAAGTTAAGCAGAACATGATTAGTAATATTCGCAAGAGAAATTGCCCTCCAATTGGTGACCAGTGTACTCCAACAAGCACCCATGATTTTGGCACATGCCCACCTGGCTTACACATGACCTACTTTTATAGCTACAGCTGGAGAGGGGTAGCGCCTGAACGTGTCAGAAGCTTGGCCACATCTGGCGCCTCGTGCTAAACAGGTAGTGGTACTAGTATTGCGCCCGTATTGTGTATGGCTGATGGTATTATGATTTCAGTTTGCCTTCACATTGCATGAACATGTGATGATATAATTGCATCTTCAACAGCTTTTCTAAACACTGCATGGAGACTTCACCGCAGCCCTTGGCTCAATACCCACGGCACGGCGCAGCGCCGGCTTGGGGGACCTGGCTGGCCAGGCTCAAACCTCCCATGTCCCACAGTCAATATTATCAATACGAGGTGGATTTCATAGTGCATTTAGAGGAGGTGAGAGTACATTGCTATTAGTGCAATCCATTGCCCAGAGTCCCTGTGACAACTCAGTACGAGGCTGAAGAGATTCCCCATAGGCCTGTGTGTCCAGTAGCCGTATCAACGTGGAAATAACTCGGTTTGGAGAAGCCTCTATGTCTCACATCAGACTTGGGGGCCGAACGAAGACAACAGGGAGACTCACGGACTCTTAGAAGGGCTTGTTGCTTGTTTGAAAGGTTGTGCTTCCGGGGCCTGCTCCTCCGCGATCTCAAGGTTAGGCTGCTTGGCAGATCATCTTCTCACAAAGATACGAGAGACTCAAGCAGTTGCTTTGCAAGCATCTCCTTGCAGAAGGCACGTCGCGTTTCCAGCGTTTCCAGCTTGTCTAGTTGGACGAACGCATACATTTTCTGAGGCTCCTTGAGAGGGCGCTTCTTACAGAATGCCACTTGGTTGCTGAGTTATTGGTGTGCTGTTTCTCATAGTTTTTTAGAAGTCCGACGGGTGCCCAGATGCGGGCTTGCCGCAAACTCACCATCTTTCGCATTCGTGGGGCAGGGCAAGTCAGGTATTGAATGGTCAAGTTGCAAGCTTCTGAATGCCAGTGTCTTATCATGTCTTGATCTGAGGAATACCACTGGCAGCTTGGCGTCAGGTATTGCGGTGCTTAATGCCAACATCCTTCCTTCACAGCGTCCCCACACATTTCGTACACCTTCACTCTTGCCAGCTTTTTGTCTGCCATGTCTGCATCTGCTGGTACACCAAGATGGAAACATCACTGCCGGGAGCGCTTCTCGGCCAATGGTAGTCGTGTTCGACATCGAAAGTGACAAAAAAACAAGCCCTCAGCTCCGCTCAGCTCCGCTGGTCCGCACATGTGATCATCTTTGAGAGTATATTTTGATATACTATAGTTTGAGGTTGTAACATACTATGATTAAGTTGTAGTGAGCGGAGAATCCCTTAGAAGCCAATTTGTGAGCAAGCTACGAGCTCAGGAATCGAGACATGACTCCTGGGTCCATCGCTGGTCAGACGAGTTCTTTGATCGCCACTGGCTCCTCGGGCTTGCCTCCCCGGCATTTATCCCAGTTAGGACTCGTACGTAGCTCCTTTTAGGGTATTATGATCCATATGATATGGGGATCCCTCAGTAAAACCCTGTAACATCGTAGGGTCCTAACTTCTTAGGTAGGCCCTTGAGCCAGCCTATGTGGAGGGCCTCAATGTGGGTGTTGCCGAAAGTAGGGGCACCCTTCGCATTTCATACGCCCAAATGCTGAAATCCTTGTTGACCCCCAATGTTTGGAAACCCTAGACCCAGGATATCCCCATATTAGTAACCCCCTTATGAAACATGAAACGTGAATACTAGAAGCCATGTTCAAGACTCTACTGCAGGCCTTTGCTGTTGGTCATGGTCCTGGAGCTGTTGACACTCGACATACATGCAAGGACGAAGCCCTGCGTTCTCTGTCCTGCCTGCAGCAGCCAGCAAACTAAGGATCGTTGGCGGGCTCTATTTTTACCACATTATGCGCTTGGCTCGGTGAGTTGGTGTTCACTCGATCGCAACTACATATTGTCAACCCGTTGGTGGCGTGCACACTGAGGTGGGTCCGAGTCCAGAAGAAGCGCGCAAAGAATTCGGCAGCAGGGATGCAGGGATTGTTGCGATTTTCTGGCAGGATGAAGTCGCAGCAGGTTTCTCCGAATATTTACTGGTTCAGCCGAGGCAGTGATGCGACTCACAGAGGAGGGATGTAACTGCTGTGATGACTTGCCCTGGATGCAGCCAGCCACTATGTCACTATGTCAGATTGAATCGGTAGAGCTTCAGTGGCAGTCTGGCCAGGAGTTCTCCTTGGACCTCCTCCATCACTTTATGCCCTCAGCAAAGGCTTGGCACTCAGGAGCCAGCCAATCCCAGCCTGCAGCCCATCCTCTGCTGAGCTCGCCTGTCACAAGATGATGAAACCAGGATGGAAAGTAAGTTGGGCAATGACCATGCGTCTGCCTCAGGTGGAGAAGTACCGATTTCGAGGCTCCCATTTGCTGGCATGATCCACTTCCTGGACCCTGGATGTCCTTCCTTGTTTAAGGGGTTGCTTTAAATTTGTGCAGGGTGCATCTCACATAGGTAGGACATCCAGAGTCAAAGTCTGGGGCGAACTGAAATGCCGTGATCCTGAGGCATGGCTAGGAAGCAAGCAGTTGATGCTCGGCTGATCATCAGATGAGGGTCCTAGACGACTGGGGGGTTCATTGGTAGCTTTCAGTGGGGTGGTACGTAGGACATCAAGACTGATAGCTCTTTGTCTTACTGGTAGTCATAACCAGCGACGAGCCAGTACAGAACCGCCAGCAGCTCCAGGTGTGTAACTTACAGCATATTATGAGCTTTGCATGAGCCTTGTAATAAGGGGAGACCTGTCTGGTAACTACCCGCCTGAAATTGTTCGCGCCGAGGCAAGCGTCTCCTTCGACAACATTTGCCTCGAGCTTCCAAGCGGTGAGAGGATCTTGGAAGGCTCCTGCAAAGCAAGAGCGAGAGGAAGAGAGCCACGGATCAAAGTTTAAGCGGCCCAGAGGGAGCCAGCAAGTTGCACAAACATTCCGACCTGCCAGATGTCACCGGTGAATTCAGAGCTGGCCGGATGTGTGCCCTGGCCGGAAGACAAACTTATAGAGAAGCAGATTTCCAGTTTGCCGACGGCTCATAAAAAGTTCATGGCTCAGGCGCAATCTTGGGGCCATCCGGCGCTGGCAAAACCAGCCTCATGCATCTCGGTGACAGTTTGGGGAGGTGTGATGAAAACGCAAGGCGGGCAGAGACAGCATCAAGCTTGTATAGTGTCTTCGGAATCCCTATATATGAGGGCTTCCCGGCTTTTGCAGACAGTCCAACGTTGGTTTCACGTTTGTATCATGCATCTTGCAAACTTAGAGGCTCATCCATTCAAAGACCTCGACAAAACTATCCTCATGCTCTGAGGAACGTGCTGTGCGGCAAGGCCAACTATGCCTATGTCTCTGGGCGGGTCTGCTTCAATGGCCAGGAAGGCGGAAAGCATTCTTTCCGCTTAAGATATCCACGGTGCCGCTTTGTACTTGTGTGAGGCAACTACGAAGACTACAAGACTGTGATGGGCTTTGTTCCGCAGGACGACATTGTGCACGAGGCCGGTACACAATTCCAGTACGTTCTTCAGCCTAAGCCGCTTGCTGGGGCCGGACTTGCACTTCGCAAACCCTGCGCTGCCACTCCAGCCTAGCGCACCGGGCGGGCCAAGCCCCAGGGTGCCAGGTGAAAATGGGAGGGAGCATTGTTGCGGAAGTGAGATGCAATATGGTATGTGGTTTTCGAAGAAATCAGCATCTCTTTCAGGTAGAGTGGATTGACCCGGCCAGCACTGAGCCCATACTATTCAGTAAGACTGCAAGGACGTATAGCAAAAAACTTCATGTGCCATGGGAGCAGCCGCCTGCCGTTGCTGCAGCCACGAAGACTCGCGAAGCCTGTCTTTGTCAGAATTTGCAGGCTTTTGGCAGAAGTATTCAATGCGTTGGGCAGGTGGTGCGGGTGTCTTTGCAATTTGTGCAGCTTTAGTTTGTTGCGAAACCCCGCGGGGCAGAGTTTGACTCAGAAGGCAGATTGCTGTGTTGTTCCCTTCAATTGCACTGAGGCGGCCTGATGGTAGGGTAGGGGCACCTTAAACGGATCCCTATGCAAGGATGCGATTCTGTGGAACTGGATACTGCAACCGGCAACGAGTCGCCGCCCTCCCCTTCACGGGCAGCCTGTCTGGATTTACTTCCGGGGAACTGCAAGGCGAACTTGAACGCTGAGGCTAATTCGAACACCGTGGATTTTCCCAGTCAGAACTGGATAAGAGAAATACAGCGGCTGTAGTTATGCTTCCATCTTGCTGAGACGCCGCTCCAAGGCACCCAGCGAGTGGCGCTTGGTGCCAAAGAGCACAGAATCGGACCCAAACTTACAATGGCATGGTTGGTGTTTAGTCACATAAATGCTCTTCTAACAGCGTGACAGCAGGCTGCTTGGACTAGGAGCCGATGAGCAAAAGTAATTCTAGCCTGAGCAAAACTCCAAGACCCGCAGGAGAGGCAGCAATGCTTGGCCTGCAATGGCCTTGGATGCAGCCTCTGCCGAGAAAAAGGCCTGGTCGAGGGCAATGCTTACTCCACTTGCAGCACCCGCAAGGAATCTCTGAAACGGATCCTTTGCCGGCACTGACGACTACGTTACATGTGCACTCTGACCACCAAGGTGAGCAGCCACCACTTTCCGACAGCCTGGAGAGGCTGGCGCTGTTCGAGGCCGCTTGAGCACCATCTGGATACTATGTTTAAGTGGGACATTCTAGTTTCCCAGAACATAAAATCGGGCTATGTCTTGCTCTTGGCTCTCGTATTTTATCCGCAGAACTACGAAAGCACTGCTCACTCAGCGGTTGGCAGCATCCTGATCAGCTCAGGCACTGCCGGACCCAGGCCAAGGCAGGCGACACGAGGCCTGCAGAGAATTAGTGCGAGAGGCACTGGTGCAGCTTGGCGCAAAGACTGGGTTTGGGTTACAGTCTTGTTGTCATTTTTAGTTTCAGTAGTATCAGTATTACCGGCCTTATGGTTGTTGGTATCAGTATTTAATACTGATACCAACAACCATAAGG